GAGGATGGAGATATCATCGATGGGTCATGCGGGTCGCAGCTCTCCGCGAGATCAGTGGGGGAGGGGCCTCTCATGACGGTGGGCGCCGTGACATTTGTTTCGTCAGAGAATCAAATCCAGAATCCTGATCCTGAGCACGAAATCGAACTCCGTGTTCTCGGGCTGACCGAGTGAGCTGGGATCGATCATCGATCCTCACCCGGGAAATCTCCAGGAGCTCGGTCGAGGGCTTGTATCGGAAAACTGTCGAACGTTTCGGAGACGCATCCGAGAATCAGGAGACTGCGCAGATAACGGGGGCCCGGGGCAACGCAGGTGAAAGGGCCGTGAGACAGCGGGCGCAAATCGGCGACGGTATTCAGACAATGTCAGCCAGCAGCATAAATGTTTCGACAGCCACGCAGCTGCTAAATCGTTCCGCCACCAGCTGCGGAAATCTAATGGGCTACTACTCAAACTAATTGGACCATTTTGCCACCTAGTTGCGAGACAGGCCAGGCTTGCGAAGCGAGCGAGCTAGCTAGCTAGCGAACGCGGGCTCAACCAGTGAGAGACTCTGGCTGACGACGCGCGCCCCTGTCGGATGGGTAGGTGAGGGATCACGTGTTCGACAGCATCTGCCGCTGCATCGGTAGGACTTCGATTCAGGCATAGAGGCATCGCTGGGCCATCCTGAACCATGATGTCGACTCCGAGCTCAACGCCGAAGGCCTCGGCGGCAATATGCGATCCATAGGTCAGATCGGCGAAATTTCCCCCTCGATGACGGCCCTATCGAGATGTCTTGAGTTTCGGAAAGCCAGCGTAATGGGCATCTCGGTGCGACAGTTGGACTTGGTCAATTAGATGGAATCTCGCTGCACCAGAATTCACGAAAGCGCGGTGTTTGAGGTCGCTCGCTCCGTTCGCTGCTTCCCTATTCTGTTCCTCCGCCGGTCACTCGATTCTGGCTGAAGGGGTTCGAGGCAGTCGTGGAAGAGGGAAAAAGGGAAGGGTCGACCGACCCTTTGACATTCCAGCCGGCAATCCTCAACCTCTGTAGGTTCCCGTCGAGCCACGGGCATAAACCATGGGATTGCAATGTCCATCATATTTCTTTCTTGTAGGTTGGAATTCTCCTGGAATCTTGCTTAATTCGATATCGCACCCGTCATTTGGAGGACGTGCAAACGGGAGATGGAGATCGCCCACGGAACAGGTAGCCCTGACCCGGGGGCAAACAGGTTGCGTGAAGCGCGAAAGAATCAGGTCAGTCGCCTGTTCATCTACGATCCGGCGATCACCCCACTCAGCCGTGGCGATGGTCGTGGCAGCGGCAGGGAAATTCGCGGTGGAGGTAGTTGCCCTCTGCCACGAGTTTGGAGAAGAGTAATCGACCACCCTCTCCATTCCTTTCCCAGCGTCGTAGCCTTCAAACACGGCGCGCTCTTATCAATACAAGCCACTCCACTTCTGCAGGAGCTCGATAGCGCCTACGGAAGAAAATACTTTGTAGCACGCAGGCCGTACACGGTCTACTGCCCGGATGGTTGAGTAGACAATTGTTCGAGTGTTCAAGCGATGATCTCAAGCGAGTTGCCCAAGACATCAACAAGTCACTCAACGAACCTTCAGTACTACCGGATACTCAAATCTTGGGCTGGTGAGTGGTCAGAGCCGGCGTTCGATGCTTTCTCTGCGGAATACCTTGGAGCTCTCTCAAATATTCAGTCGCAAGCCCAGAATCTTAGCCTAACTTGGGTCGCACTTCGGTGCCTGGTCGAGTTGTTCGCTACGTCGAAGTGATGCGAGTGACGAGGATGCCATGTGGGTCCGGTTCAGAGCAAGTCCACACGTAAATACTGCTTGCGCTCGGGTCTGCGAGGCGTATCGGGAGCTTCGCAGAACCCCTACCTGCATAGTCCACATACTTTCCGATCCCGCAACAAATATCTGTGTCTGAGGATGCCAAATCGCGGCTGTCGATACCGATTCGTGCCTATTATTAATATTCTCTTTTTAATTGCTGTCGAGCGAGGCAAGATTCGGGATGCTTCCGTCAGATGATGTTCTGTCATTGACCACTCTTATCTCCATCCGAATACGCCAAATATACCTGACTACTGACGTACCGGTTGGAACGAGACCTTCCAGTCATACTCTCGGTCCGACACGTCGCGGGTGGAGGACGCTCGTAGTTGGAGGCCAAGGCGATAAGCGTACTTTACCCCAAAAGGGTCTCTAACTTCGAGACCTACCTATCCGATCGTATGCGGAATCCTCGACACCGTGTTCCATGTGATTTTTTGATTTCTGAGTTCTTTCCGGAGCATCGGCGCCCAAGCCATCGTATCGGATCACTAGCCGGCGTGTCCCGGTCGCTGTGCTTCAGTTGTCCTTTCACGAGTCGTCAAATGTTTTTGACAGTCTTCAATGATCTCTGCCCCGAACAGACCGCTCTCGACCCGCTCGCGCACGGTCGTCGCCCAGACCCCGACTCGTACGAAAACAAATCCTCTGCTTGAAGACTTATTCTCCGGGATTCGTTCAGTGTGGAAACTTGAGTGCTGAAGTCCCTACCTTTCGCGCTAAAATCACATACGTACAGTTCACTTTGGAAGTCCAGAGAAGAAAATGATTGGATGAGTTTCGAATGAGATTCATACTGGGTTGGTTCGAAGGATTCTCCTCGGAACTGATGGTGGGGGGGGGGGGGGCTCAGCATCGATTCGAGGGATCAGGAAGCTTCGGAGCGATTGCTACAGCTCCTCATCGAGACGTGGCGAGCACTTTATAGACGTCTTCAAGGGTCTGTGTATCAGGTGCGCTGGGCATGGTTTCCATCAAGCGAGCATGCAGACCACCACAGCTACGAGCATCGCTGGAGACCAGCACAGCTGCCCCTTTTCCAGAGGGAGAGAGTGGAAGGACGAGATGAACGACGAGGAGAACCCCTGCCCGCTAACCCAACTGGAGATCAAAAAACCACCAGCTCTCTCTCTCCCATGATCTGCATCAAACAAGCGCCTAATGATCGACTTCACAAGCGTTCTCCTGTTGCTTTCCCCATCAAGGAGCTCGGGGAGCTCTCGGAGACGTATTGAATCACGGCTCGGATTTTGTCTGATCTTCGAGAGGAACTTGGATTCCTCGTGGCGCGCTCTCACCTGACGAGCGCGATCGACCGCAGCCGGGACCGGAGAAGCTCCGCTCTTCCCCCTTCGAAATTTGAATCGCGTATTGCACGATTAACGATTAGGTACATAAAGGACCCTTTCCTTTGATTCGATCGAAGTTCGCGATGCGTCATCTTCATTCCCTCCCGGCCCCTGGCCATTCCCTTCCCAAAGCATTGCTCCTCACACGACCGAGAGCTGAGGATTCCTATGATCATGTGATGGCTATCTGCGTTTTGACGCCGTATAGGCGGAATCCGAGTCAACGCTCGAGAGAATCTGCGAGAGACTTCTTGATTTCGAGGTGTGTCATCGCGCTTCTGGACTAGATTTCCACACATCTAAATACCATGGCGACGCGCGGTGGTTTTCCAAGACTCGTATACTCTTCGGGTCTCGAACCGCATCGACTTTCGGCGGAGCTGGTTTGCTTTTCATGGCAATCGATGCCCTCGGAAGCTTCCTTCGGGGCGGAGAAAAGGGATATTCCTCACTGATTCTCTCGGAATTCGAGTCGCTCGAGTCGGGACTACCTCCTAAAGTTTCACATTGTATCCGGGTTGTTGCGTATGGGGAGCGATAATTTCCTTTCTCTCGACACGATCAACGATCCAAGGATCGTCCTCCCAACTTGTGTGGAAACTTCAGCGACTGCTTCTCTCGTGGATTGTACCATCTGCGGGCGAGATCATCGCTCTCCTCAACTCTGAGAGCTCACCTCTGAATATTTAGATCACCGTCAAGGATCAATCAGAGCTCGGATCTTTTTCGCTTGGAGCAACGAGGGTCCGCACAGCTGTACGATCTCCTCGGAGCAAATCGCTAAAATGTCTCGATTTGTTCCTCCGACAGATCGACAGCTCCGGAATCGTCACTCTCGTGCGGCTCGCAATCGAATCCTTGCGAAGAATCTCCGATCTTTCGAGATCTCTTATTTTCGGCAGAAGAGAGCTCCCCCCTGAGAAGGGGTCCTGCAAATACAGGATGTGTGCATGAGAATATGGCCAAAATTCATTGGATGAGCCCCCGGGAGTATCATGCCGGCGAGACTACGAGTCTATTCCTGCCTAGACGGGGGGAAGCTATGTTCCGACGCCTCGGGGAACACTCCGCATAATCTCTCATCAATCCCCGTCAGGCACCCGATGAATTGATCAAGCAGCTAGGCTTAAGCGATAAACCTGTACGATTCGCGGCGGATTGAATCGATAAACCGCTCCGGAACGAGGCGAAAGCAGAACCTACGGCGCTTGACGGCGTCTCGAGTGACTGAAGCGGCACAGTGAGAGTGTTTGTTGAAAAATTTCGACTGCGTATTCACGAGGCATATCCCCGCGCCCTACTTCTCGCATCGAGTTTCCAGGCTTCTTGACCGAGAAAAAACGGGGAATGGTCGTCCTCACGGAGAGTCAGCTCCGCCAGTCAAAGGTAGACATCTCCCACCTCATTATGCGACGGCCCGCTGAAGCTGTGATCAATTAGGCTTCCCGAAGCATCGCCTTGAAAGATTAGGTTGCATTGGCACGCTTGTTCACTCGCGTATCCCTGCTCGCCTGCCTCTCTAATCTTGGTCCTCCTCCGCCGAAATAGCTCGCTCGATGTGGTCCGCGATCAAAATAGTCAAAAGAGAAAGTATTGGCAAAGTTTCAGACGGCAAAAAGACTTTGCATGTGTTGCTGGCTCACTGAAGGAGCTGCGGGGAGCGGAGCTGAGGCGCTGGGCCGAAAATGTAGCGAGGCCAGACTGGGGGCGGAAAGAGCTGGTGAGGGGCTCGATGGGTGGCAAATCTGCCGGCTGTGCCAACGGATCAGCTGTTCGTTGAATTTGGCCGCCGCCGCTGCCGAGATGAAACTAGCGGGGCAGGTGGGGCTGTACAGGCAGTGGCAGCAGCAGCAGCAGCAGGAGCCTTATGGCCAGTCAGGCATCAGTCGCAGTATAGAATTTTAATATCAGAGCAGATGGCGGCCGCGGCAAGCACCAGCTGCCTGGACTAAGTGGCTTTTGGATTGCAGAACTCGCAACGGCTGCCGCAGCTGCTAACGGACCCGCGAACCCACAGCGCCCTCCTGTGGGGGCGGAATCAGAGATGCCCCAGCAGTCGCCACGTGAGCCACAGCCTCAAACGTCGCCCCCCAGTATTCAAACACCACCGATCATTTTTCCACGCAACTCCAACAGAGGTGAGCATGACCACAAATCAATCGTACGGCGGAGGGAAAAATAATAATTTGAATAAGTCCTGAATAGGGCGCAATATTCATCCTCGGATGCCGGATGGGTTTTGCGGGTATTGGGGAACTCGTTCCGTCGAGATATGAGGGATACTTGCAATAGATTTTGACGAGCGTGACAGACACCATCAACTTTGTTATTTTCAAATTATTTTTCACGTGCCTGAAGAACCTCCACGATCAGCTTCTTCACCGACGACGGCTCACGCAACCTCGACGACTCCTCAAAGTCAGTCGAGACCGAGCTCGACCGACCTAGAGGTTGGTTCCTCGATGACGCTGGGCATTGCTGCTATCGGTTCTTTCAATAACAGCACCAGCAACGGAAGCAACAACAATAATAGTAATGGTGGCAGCAGTAGTAGCAGCAACAACGACAACAATATCCGTCAATTGGCGAAAGTCAAGAGGTTCCTCAGCACACTCCAGCAGTTCGGTAACGATATCTCCCCTGAGGTCGGCGAAAAGGTCCATCAGTACATCCAGGGAGTCGTGGTACGTTCGTTGGTTGCGAAAATTCATAATTATCCGCTGAGCCCAGAGAAAGAGACATGAGGGGACGTGCACGAGATCGTGCACCGCAGAACCGGCGCGGCGCTTCAACAGATGAACTTCGCATTTTCCAGGGTGGTTCGATCTCGATCGACGATTTCCACGCAAAAATTCAGGAGGTCACGAGTTATCCATTGAGACCTTTCGTCACGCCCTTCCTCCACTCAAATCTCCCACTGATGCAGTCTGATCTCTTGAGCGTGGCGCGGAGCGCTAAGCAGAGTCCGCAGCAGTATCTCCGGGCGCACGAATCGTTTCTTCTGGATCCACATTGTCAGGCCGGGGAGCCCTTCGAAATCTTTCACCCGGAAGCGAAGGAGAATTCGCTCAAACGTCCGCGTTCGGAAAAGTTCGTGAATAAGCTATGTCTAGTCCGTTCGCCAATCGAGAGGAAATGTTTTTTCTCCCCCAGTGTCTCCGAATGCCTCAATGGAGAGCATCTCCCTCTATCGAAGATAATTCGCAAAATCATTACAGTCGATTGAAAGAAGAGCCTTTCGGACCTCACAACAAACGCGCGCGTCAGCTATCCTCGAACGGAGTGCAGATGCCGTCGCGTTTGGATAGCAGTCACGAAATCTACCGTGAAAGATTGGACAGAATCGATCGGATCCTCCGCCCGGAGCCTAGATCTGACGCCGTGGACGACGTGTTGCGGAATATCCATAATGTAAGTGCAGGCAAGCTCTGGCGTACAACATATTCTCAATCATAAAACTATGGGAATGCATCGTACCTAGCGAGAAGGAATTGAGTTCCCATCATTCATGATTGCGAATGAATAGATGCTCAACTGTATCATCGGACTGGTGGAGAAAACAAAGAGAGCGGTCAGCGTGTTGCAACGGGCCCCCGGGATACCTTCCGGACTCCTCGCCGACTTCGTCTGGACCCCGATAATTTCATCTGTCGATGCTCGAGAGCAAGACGTCGTCGATAAAAAACGGATCGGCGATTTCCTCGGGCCACTCAACTTCGATCGGGGAGTTGAGCTTGAGACTCGCGTGTCGGAAGTTCGCCGAAAAGCTGGTGGGTTTTACTCCACGTGACTCCATTGCGGGCGATCGAGGCAGGCCTCAAGCGCCATGGTATGATTGTGGCATCGAATCGAGCGTCGATAAATTTCAGAAGAAGCTGTCAACGAAGTCAAGAGACATGCCGTCCTCGAGCTCCAGAAAACTCTTTCCGCTGCCGAATCACGCACCTCTGAATTACTGGCGGTAGAACGAGCGAAGATGAATTCCATTCTTAGCGAAGCCGCTGCTCGACGTTTGGATCTACACGATCACGTGATGCACCCCATGATCGGAAGTGAGGATGCCGAGGTCAGTGGAATCACGAGGAGGGTATCAAGGGCTCGGGGAGATGTCGGGAGAGCCTGAATCCCACTCGAAAATCAAGAACGTCCCCGAACGAGAGCTCAAGGTTTCCAATCGTTCCAGTCGAGCTGTTGGAACTGTGGACGGCGTGCGAGCGAAACTTGCAGCGGATGCAATTTGGCTCGCTATTGCGGCTCGTTTTGTCAACACAAAGATTGGGAACAGCATCACAAGGTTTGCGGTGCGTCGGGTTTGCGCGCGGCTACGGTGCCTTCAGGAGGCGGACTCTTGATGCCGGCAACATCGATGGCCCCCTTAGCGAGTAAGAGAGAAGAGCTAGTGTCTCCGTCCCAAGACAAAGCAGGTTCGTCGGATGCCGAGGATGGCAAGGACCCCAAGGTAGGCTCGATCGGCTCCGTGATGAATAATCCCCGAAACTTGCGATGATGTTCTTCTCGAAAGACTCCTCGAAAAGTCGATTGAATCATATTCTCAGACAACGCGCGCTCCATTTTCGCAGGAACCTTGTTGAGTCGCCAGAGGAAACATTCGAGCAAAAATCAACTACCCATTGAATCTAGATCCAGAGGAAACTCTCGGAGCGCAGCCGTCCCTCGCGGATCCCCAAGCATTCGCCCACCTAGCAACCCTGATCTCAAGATACAGATCGGGAAAATTCATTCAGATTACGCCTGGAGCTTGCGTCGGAAACCTCAGAGTCAGTCACTCATTATACGATTGTTCTGACCGTCAGAATGCGTCAGTTGTTACCCTCTAAGATTCATTCCTAGCTTATCCGCTAGATGGGTTCATAATTCGAAAAAAACATCGATCCGAATCCTTGATAATCGACCATAAGCGACGTTGACCAACATCCTCACCATTGTTCCCGCTCTCTCTCTAGGCAGCGATTAAGGCTTCTCATTAGGCGAGTTTTTCTCCGGTGCGAGGTCATCCCACACCATTGGGAACGAGAGTTATTCGGTGTCTCTCTGATCATCGAACGAGCTCTTGCTCGCACAATTTTTAAATGCCCTTCGGTCATCAACCAAAGTCCTCGGAGTATGTTGAGCCAATCAAAAGGGAGAGGGCGAGACGCTTTCTAGGAACTTTATAGCAGTGTCTCCTGTAGTACGTAGATAATGTACAGAGAGGAATACGATGGGTAGAGGTCGCTTTCTAGAGAACCCTACCATATGAAAATTCTGACCGTGGCGAATCGTCGCGACGGGTCTCGAGGTCATGCTGCTTGGTCGGAAGGACTGAGCCCCAGATCCCGCAAGATTCTGAGCTGATCAAAGGCAACGAGGCTTCCGCTCACTGATCATGTCAAACGGAGTAAGGAAGTCACAATGAGCGAGAGCATACCATATGAACGCACAGCGCCGTCCTCCTTGCCCGAGTTCGGTTGAAAACAGGCTGAGGCTCGAGCTTTATCGCTTCCTGTGTGGAAGAGAATCGAGTGTTTTGTTCACGTAATTTTGAATCCCACCGTAAGGTCGAAAAGATACTGGTTAGAGCGTAGAGAATTACTGTTAGCAGGAAACTAGTTCCTGGGTAGGCAAACAATTGAATCTATCACTCAATGATTGTTTCGGAATTTTCTTTGGAATTATTTTGATTTCGCACCGAGCACTGTATCGCTGCTCGAAATATCGATAAAGACGATAGGCGATCTGTTTGTACGATTTCGTAATGATTGCGTCTCAAGCGGAATTGAAGGGGAGGATAAGAGCCTCATACCGATCCTCCGGGACAAACATCCTGTCTGTAGCATATCACGGATGAATATACATTCGAACACACGTCGATGCTCATGAATAGAGTGCCTGGTGATTTCTTGAGAATCATCCCCTAATCTCTCCTCGGAAACCGAGTGCACCACGACGATTGAGGAGCACTATTCGGTAATGCGATGAATGCAGGGCTGGAACTCTGACGCCAAACTCTGATCCCGTTTCGTTGACGCCGCCAAGAGCATCCCATCCTGAAAATCTGGAAATCCTTGATCTTGAGAGCCCGGTTCCATGGCGGCATCCGAGTTCGAGTTCCACCGGCCTCCGTATCATATCATTGGCACTATCTATTGCTTGATGCATCCTGAATTCTAGGAGCTCGAGTTTCAAGCTCATTGCTCTCTGATTCCATCAGGTCGTGCCTGACGCGATGTTGCAATTTATTTGAATTACTCGTGCTTCACGGGTCGCAAGTGTAGGCAGAGCGAAGATGGGAGCGAGAGCTTCACAGAATCTTCACCTGACGTCCCCCGATAGAGGCTGCGGAGCGAAAGATCACCTGGAACTTGGAGTTCAGGTATGGCGATGACCTTCCTCAGTCAGGGGGGTCTCTCCTCTGCGAAGGGGAACTCCAAGCGCGAGATGTCGAGTCGAGTGAAGACAGCGAAGGTCAAGTTCCTTCTCGTCTAAGATGCACGACGCTATTCTTTGACACTACAGGAACGAGTTCCCCTCAGCGGATCATCCGTGGGATCCTCCGGGACTCATCACCTCAGTCTCTTCTGCTCCTCGGAAAGTTCGCCCTATCAAGCACGCTGCCCTTCTGCAGATTCCAGTTCCCCTAATGTGATTCGCCCCCCCCCCTCCCCTAATTCAGAATGAGGATTGAGCTAAACGATTGATTCACTTGATGATCTCTCCCGTATCGATCGTAGTATATCCGACGCTCGACGGGGAAGGCTCAATGATTTCATGTCATTGCGGACGTACCCGGGGCCGGTGATCACTCTTCGGAACTCTCTCCCAGCACCTCTGCGGAGACCTCCCGACCCGTCAAGGGACCGGCTGACGACCGCAGCGATCGGGTGTAGTGGAAACCCCCTCTCGTTTCGAACATCTTGGGAAAGACATCCTCCATCCGAAACTTCTTTGTCGGACAAGGGAACTCGAGTGCGAGGCCTTGTGTCTCGTGGCCGACGCGTTGACAGCGATCATTCGATTCTGAGGATAATGAGTCAAATCGTCCAGGCGAGCCTCCGTGGAGCTTGTCAACGCAGAAGAGCTGTCTGTCGTTGGCGTAGAATTTACACCGTCCGTAGCTTTTTTCAGTGTTTACGTAGGCAGCCTCCGAGCGGCCGGTCGATTTAAGGTCTGTCTCCTCAGTGTGAAAGTTGGAAGAGCCGGCGAGGGTAGCAGTGGAGATGTGAGAAAGGGCATAAGCGGACGACCGACCACCTTCTGCATCGCTAGCACCGCCACTGCAGGCAGGCAGTACAGGGAGCAGCGGCCGTTGTACTCGAAGGATTCGAAGCACGCATGCGGACGGATGGACCACCGAACCCGCTGCAGACAACGCTCGCTTCGCACCATCTCCCGGAGAGTACCAGCCGCTGCTACCGCCGGCGTTGCAACCACTCGCAGCGCTGGAAAGAAACATCAACAAGAGGCTCTAACAACTACTGCTGGTTGCGGCTGCTGGTCGCTCATTGACCGCGAGTGAGTAGGCAATCGGGCGAGTGAGAGAGCGAGTAGGGCGAGAGTGTGTACAAGAAACGTGAGCGAACAGAGCGAACTCCACTCGCTTTAGCTGGTTCGAGCCAGCTATTGACGAATCGATGGCTTCCTGAGTGGCTGCTGCCGCTCCCTCTGCTCTTCTGTCCGAACTGTGCTGTGAGTTGAGAGTAAAAGAGACTCTTAGTCATCATTACCCCTCTCAGCGATAGAATCGTGTACTGCGTGCTATCATCTCGGTCTGATGGCCGGCCAGTCAGTCACTAGCCAAATCATCGGTTGCGAAGTAGTTCGGTAGCGCTATCACTTGCTGCCGAGTGCGGTGTTCGCAAAGGAGAGTCTCGATACATAAGGATCCAGCTGGCTTTCGAGTTTTGCAACCATTCTCCCGTGCAACCGAGCATTCGTGCGGTGTGTGTCAACGGGATCTGACCGGCCGTGTTGTTTGTTGTTAAAGATCGGACGACAGACATCGTTCGCCGCCGGGAGAAGCTACTGGCAACGCTGAAGGAAGACTCCTAGACGACTCGATTGACTCCCGGCTCAGGAGCGTATTCGTGCACGGCTGCATCAGAAACCGCAATAAGCGGCTCTGACCGCGACTTGGCCCAGTGAACCGTCCCGTTAAAAGTCGCGAACGCCTGACAATCGAGCAGCTGCGAATCTCCCCTTCCTTCCGTACTTTCTCTTGCTTTGGCGCTCGAGCAGCGCCGGTGCTAGTGCAGTGGAGTGCGAGTAAACACGCGAACGGGCGCGCTCTGACAGATTTTCGAAGATGAAAGAAAAGACCGATCAGATCCGAATCTACGACAAAGACGGATTCCGTCAACGCGCCGCGTGTGTCTGTGTTCGAGGTGATGGGAGCGATACTGAGGTAAGCTTGCTTGAGCATTCTCGGACTGTTTTTTCTTTAATAGGTATGAACACACTGTCACTATAGTCACGGATGTCCCCTGAACGAGCGCTCAATATCGCAGACATTCTTCCTATGGGGAACCCATGGGAATATTCTCGAGCTGCTCTTGTTTGAAGCGAAGCGGACCGGTTCCTTGCGGTTCGTGAAAGTACCGTTATCTTTCCTCAGCGATTGGGCGGGAGAGAACGAGTTTCGAAGCGATTCGACTGGGAAACCCCTGGACTCCGGTGGGGGCCGGAATCCCCGCTAGTGCTCGGTGGGTCCGGCACATTCTGGAATCTGGACTTGGGGTTTAACTCAATCGAAGAAAATTCTCTCTAGAGACCCCTTCAGAAATTTCTTCGCCTCGGGCGCTCGCGCCGCAGACATCGGTGAACGCCCGGCGCATGATTGAGCGAAGAATGCAGACAAGCCGGGCGTCCCTAATGAGCTCTTTTGTTCGGGTCCGCGCAACCCCAGAGAGAGTCAATCGGATACCTACAGTTCGGGGGGATAGAAGTCTTTGGAACAATGGGACTCTCGCTTGAGCATCGGCCGTAAATGATCGGATGGAGCTCACAGAAGCGACCCGGATTTTAAATGACAACTTATGAGACCTGCTCTTGAGTGAGATTCCCTAAAGCTCATCAAGCGACTTCGTCGCGATGTGGGTGACGGGTGACTATCCGACTACCGTGTCGAAGTTGTTCTGATGTTCGGATGTCGAAAGTCGGAACATCAGAGTGCGAGCTTCCCTCGTCGCTCAGTACAATCGGCTCCGCCAACGGAAGGTCGCCGCCTTGAATAATGAGCTGAATCCGGAACATCGTCGAAATCGAGTCTCCGAAGACCTTTCAATGGATGAGCACGTGGCTGTCTTACGGAGTATCCTCAGGATCGTGGATTCCGACATGCTCGCACCACCTACTGGGCGACGTATCCACAACTCCCGTGGGTTGATATTCTTTCAAATGCTAGTTCTGATAGCTAGCTGCCATTGGCGTGTCGCGCCGGAGGAGAACTCCGCTAGTTTGATTGAAACTACTCTATAGCTATGCCGGTCCAAACTCCCTGCGTAGCTTCTGACGAGCAGCGTCGGAATGATGTTTTATTTTTGGCGAAGTCGTTCCCTATCCCCGTACCGCGGTTTGCGAAAGAGCGATGGGCTCGTTGGAGCGGCGTCCGACGCCATGGAACGTCATAGCGGAGTTTATCGTCGATCGAACCAAACTGAATTAGGTAGATCATGCGCTAATCGGATCTCATAAATCGCCTAAATTGGAGTGAGGAAGTAAACAGAGAGAGCTCATTTTCTGAACATCCAATTGTGAATCAAGGGCTCGGATCAGAATCGACTCAATTCGGGCCAGAAAAAGGTCAGCTCGAGCAGGCACATGCATCACATCAAGGAACCTCTCGCCAAGAGCTCAACCCTTCCTCCTCCCGAGGTTCAGAACAAAGATCTAAGAGATTTGTCATGCGACAAGTTCACTCTCGGTCTTTGTCCTATTTCCTGATTCATTCTCGGGAAAAGAGCAACTGGTGTCATAAGAACGAGCTTTATGACACTGTGACGTTTGCTAGGGTGGTCCCTGGCAACTATCTTCTAACTGTATCCGATTACAAGCGAGTGAACCGGAGGATATCCACCGGCTTCTCGCATTCATTTCTCGAGTCACACACTTATCGAAGAGTGGTTTCGCTCGTGACGGCTATTTCACGCTGGAGGAAGCCAACGATCATCCACCTGGACTGGGATCGGTCGTCAAGGTCCTCCCTCGTCGAACATACGTGTCGCGATAGATGCTCGATAGAGTCGACAAGCAGCACTCGGTAACGATTTCCAGCCCACGAAGGTTCTCTCATGAGCGTGCCCAGTCAGTACCGATGGTGGAGCGGCAAGGAAAATCGGAAGCGGAGCATCATCATCCCCGCGCATTTCACGGATCGCTGCTGACTATTGGAATCCTCATCCCGCTTGAAATTGCTGGCGATTACCTTGTAGACTTGAAAGAGTTTCTCGAAGGAGATCGAAGCTTTCTCGGGGATGATCACGGAGTCCGGAACTGCGGTATTCTCTTCGAGGCTCTGAGCGATGTTGTCGGGTATTGAACGACGCGAGATCTCTCTGCAAGACACAGACGGCACGGCGATGACCTCCTCGCTCGAATTCATGTTGGCCTTCCTCGAAAAGAAGCCCGGATGATCATCCAGAATAGCTCCCAAAGTACTTCGACTAGCCGCTATGGTCTGCCTATTAGAGACGCAAGCTCCCTGGTCGAACCTTCGCGGTCGAGAAATCCTCAGACAAGATATGAAGGGACCATAACCAGCCTGTATCGTATATGTGTGTTCAGAGAGACTTCACTCGCGAGAAACTTAGTACCTACATATGTTCTGGTGAATTTTGGGCACAGAAGCAGGAACGAAGAGGGGACTCGGTTCTCTCATCGCTGTCGATGTCAGGTCGGGAGTTCTGAGGCCAGGGCCGGAGCTTCCGAGCTCTGACCGGAAGGAGCACCTCGAAACTTTCCAGAGCAAGAAGCAGCGCGCGATCAATGGAAATGCTGATTCCAGCAGGAAACTTCGCTTGGGGGCTTATCCTTGGGACCAGGCTGCGGTCCTGTCCATGGTCTAGTAGGTATCGGCCAACGATCCGATGAGCAGACTAGAATCTGGGCATCTTGAAATCTCGACCGAGCCACCTGGGAACGGAACGCGCGGCACTGCAGTACCACAGATCGCGAGGTTCAGGCGTCCATGACCCCGAGCGTCGCAGAGCAGGAGAGCCCGCTCCTTGGCAAATCGATGATGATGACGGATATGATTCATCGGGACGGGAGAGCCGACAGATTCAGACAATGTTGTTATCTGGGGAACGTGGAAGAGTCATCATTAGCGGGAGAAGGCACCCGGGGCCGATCTGAAGGATGGAGCCCCTTCTCAGGAACTCATTCCCGAATTTCGTTGAATAGGCGAAATTCTCATGGGACTTTCCTTCTTGTCTTTTCTGTGGCTTGCGCCGGAAAGGACGCCCCTGAAACTGGTCGAAGAAGTGGTTTGCACCCCCGTGCGCGACCCAGAGATACAGGTGGAGGGGCTCTGCTTTGATTAGGCTGCCGAGACTAGTGCCGCGCTTGGAAGGCTTCTTCAGAGGATGCAGCGAAAACGCTCAGGGTCGGTTACCAAACTAATGTGGGCTCATTCTTGGTGGATCAACCTCTCGAGGAACTGGTTCTATCTCAGAGTGGCTAGCGGCTTCTTTGCATTCCACATAGAGCACTGGAAATTTCGCGGAACCCCCTCAACTTTCGGGAACCCGAACGAATGCATCTCACTCATGCCGCTTGCATTCAGCTCCCGTCTTGCACAGCGGTATCAGTGCTCTCCCAATGGAGAAAAAGCTAATTCGCTAGCTCGTTCCAGAAACTTGGAAGAAAACAGAGATTACGTTATCCGGACGCGTTTTAGAGTCTTAGACATCTAATCTGGAAGGGATGATTACAACTCAGGACGCTGAGCAGCATTACGAATGAGCACCAGTTTTGGCGGAAGCGCTTCGAACTAAGAGATGAAAAGTCGTTTGACAAGAATCGTAGCAGGTTGCTATCATCAGGTTGTTTACTTGCAGCAGTGGTCTATCGTTGTCTCTGAAGATTAGAAATTTCGGAACCACTAACAAGCGCTCGGAGATTACGACTTGAACAGATACCTTGTGCCTCGAAGGCTGGAGCATGAACGGAGCGATAAGCTCCAGAGATAACCAGACGCTCACGATGAGAATCGGAACTATTCGATGAACTTTCATCTATAATATTATCCTTCTCCTTCCCAGATCCTTCTGGTCTCGTCAACCGCTTCGCCTGAGCGCTTCATCGTTCCGGGAGGTGGCCTCGAGCCGGGTGAAGACGCTTCGACGGCGGCAATCCGTGAAGTCATGGAGGAAGCCGGTGTACGAGGAACGCTCGGTCGTTGTCTCGGCGTTTTCGAAGTCAGATCAGCACGTCAATACGTAAGCATGCATGCAAAAATCACACTTGGTGTGAGTTTCGGGAGCAGACATCTATGATCCTAGCGCATGCTTCATATTCAAATTTCCCCCCTACTCTCTCCCCAGAGTCACGAACGAGGACACAGAACCCACGTTTTCGTGCTCCAAGTGGAAGAGGAACTAAGTGAATGGGATGAATCCAAATCAGTCGGTGAGTTGACCACCGGCGTCAGTACGCGAGGCTGGAACATTGAATAACGCCTTTATCTTTGTTTGACGAAGACATGTATGCCGTGAACATGCTAATCTACGGGCATCCTCAGGGTCGAATTCGAAGCCCTCCATAATCGCGTTCTCATGAGCTACACGAGTCAATCAAGTTCCCTTCTATCAGAATATTTCCGGTACATCGATTGAGGATTGCCCCAATTATCGTGGAAGTCGAATCCATTCTCATGTCTTACTCCTTTCTCTAGGCCGCACAAGAAAATGGTTCACGGTCGCTGGAGCGATCCAGGAATTGATGGTATCCAGGCCCGTGCAATGCGTCTACATTCAACTTTTAAATGCCACGCAGGGCGTGACGCATGATTCTACGCACATCGTCCCAACCGCCAGCAGTGTGTCACCGTCCGACGTGGCAGCTGGAGCGCAGTAAGACATCTTACAACTCGACGCTATCGAACCCGTGCTCATCGATGCATTTATGTTGTCCTACACAGTATTCTTCGATCCATCTCATTTCGGTCGGAGCGTCGCAAGACGGGATCGCTACGCGTCTCTCAGGCTATGGGATTTCGAGACAGCAGTATAAGCCCGCAGGCTCGTCCCGTAAGTGAGCTGGTCGTCTTCGGTCTCTGGAAAAAGCTCTTTGGGAACTGCTGATGACGAATTCTGTTCTACGTCGGACGGTGCTTCGTAAAGACATGTCAACCATTTACGCGCGATCTTAAGTCAGAATAATAACCTCTAAGAGAACTCCAAAAACCTGGTTCTTCGACGTACTTGTACATGCCTAATGTTTTTACTTACACGCCAGAGCCATCACGTTATCGACTGAACGACGAATAAACGTATTTTATTTTTCAACTCCCTGTATGGAATCATTCTCGCCGTCTTATGACGCGACAAAATATTGGCAGCGGTGGGATTCGAACCCACGCCTCCGAAGAGACTGGTGCCTTAAACCAGCGCCTTAGACCGCTCGGCCACGCTACCGTCCTGTTCGCTCGCAGCGCCGCGTCCTTCCGGCGATCGCTGGCTATTGTACCGATTACCGATCACGCTTCCGCCGAGCATCAGCGGGCTCGACAACCAGGACAAGGTGTGCCAGTCATCCATCAAGACCACCTGGAGTTATCTACCGTGGTCGAAATGGAAGACGTTCAGGGTGGAAAGGAAATCATGACGAGCCCCGTTCGGAATATTTCTCGAGCCTGTTCATGTCCGGAATGCTCTCTCAAACAAGAATCGAATGCGGCACCTCCCAACCGAGCGGATTCCTTGCGACAACACGCAGCGATGAATTCCCCTCAATTTCGCAGGTGCTGAGGTCCACGAACCGATAAAGAATCCACCGAGAGGTGTTGAGTCCGAGCAATGATTTCGAGTATTGAGCTCTGGTCCCGCTAATCCCAACCCAAACGATAAGATGTTTTCTGCAGCATGGCACAGGATGTGCGAAAACTTTGAATAATTGTAGGAACGGGAAGAGCTACGTGATTCTTAACCAAATGAGATAAACTACTCGAGCTTCCCTTCAAGGTCTCGACAAGAATAAGCTAGGAACGACTAGTGCTCGTCCATTGATGCTCGAGATGCTATCTCAAGCGTCCAACTGCGTGCCTATGCTCGGCGACGGAAGGGGAAATATCTCTCTATAACCTGTTTCATCGCCGAGATTCCGAGTGTCAATTGGTGTCCCCTCTTTAAGGTGGAAGATGAGAGGAATTTCCCCAGCTCTGCTTTCCGCAGCGTAATGAGAGTTCAGAACTGGTCAAAAATCTATCGGTGCCAGGTTGCGCTCCCGGCTGCAGAAAGTCGATATGCAAACAATCAACACTAATCCGCGGAAAATTAGACTCTCGGAGTCCGTACAGTTTTTATTCAAACCCCTGCTTAACGTATTTCAAGCGGCCGCGCCCTCGAGGGTTTCCTTCAAGTCAGCCTTCTTCAACTTCTTCTTCGCCGGCTCTCCTAGGAACTGCTCGGCAGTTTTCTTCCGTATCAAATCAACTTCCTCCTCTTCTTCTTCGGCCCATTCTAGAACAAGCCTCCTGCCGTACAAATGGGTACTTTGACACAGTGAGTCGAAAGCTCGTTTGGCGTCAGATTTCGTGATGAACTCGACGAAAGCGAAACCTCTGTGAGAGCCCGAATCTCCACCAAACATTTTTTTCGGCAGGCGCACTGTTTTCAGCTCGCCGAATACGCTGAAATGAAGGAGAATATAAAATAATCGATGGTGCAAGGCTAATGTAGCGAAGCTGAAGCAGAACGCGAATTTCTCGGAACCTACGCGAACAACTCGAAGATTTCCTTGCGGTTAGCCTGGAAGGGAACATTGCGGACGAGTATTTTCGTCGACGCCTTTCCCAGCTTTTGTGTTTTCCTCTCAACTCCGGCGGCCTTGACTTCTCTCCGCGATACCTGGGAAGATACCGAGTCGACTCCCGATTATTATCATCACTTTCGCGGGCGTTTCTCCCCGGAAAATCACATTGGGGGAAGCGCAGGCCATCCTGAGATCATCCAACTCACCTTCAGCCCCAGAGTATGGGAATCTAAAGTCGAATGTTGCAACTTCTTAAGAGCCATCATGGCATCTTGCTTTGACTTAAATTGAACGAATCCGTAACCCATGGAGAGCGTCTTTCCCGGCTGGCGAGGATCCGACTTCGTGGCGACAGTTGCTTGGACCACGGTTGCGCACTTGGAGAAGTGCTGGAAGGAATTCTCTTATTGTGAAGAATACCGACCATCAGCGTCGTCTCGATTCGATAGCGTTCTCGCCCGAGAGCTACTCACCCGTTGTAGAACATCGTTTGTGGTAGAGAAATTGAGGTTCTTCACAAACAAGACAGATCCCTCCTCCGGCTCCTCAGACCCAGCTCCACCGACTTCGTCAACAACGCTTTGCGTTTGAGCTTCGTTCCTGCCGTCGTCTCCGTCTCCAGCAGTACCGGTATCGAGCTCGTCACTCGGTCTCGTGGCTTCGTCAGCGGTTGCGTCCCGGCTGAACACGTTCACCGGAGCCCATTCGAGATATAATGGCTGATCCATGAACATGGTGTATGCTAGCCTCTTGAACGCACTTCGAGCGTCCTGCGGCTCAGCGAACTCCACGAGGGCTGTCACTCCAGAAGGGGGCAGCACCACCCGCCGAACGACTTTCTTCCTGTAAGTTACATAATACTCAGTGTCCTGAATATTGACTCGCTTCCACCCGATTGTTCTCGAATTCCTCGACACCGCCCGGTTCCGGCGAGAGCCAGGCTCTTCTGGGGAGAAATTCCAGCGATGCTCACTTCGGATCAAAAAGGTCCCACAGCGTAATCTCTTTCGTATTGGCCGGCAGATTCTTCACGAGAAGAATGGTCTTGCTGCGCTCTGTAACGTTCTGCTTGAACACCGAGAGGTCCACGCCGTGACTCTCGAGGAATTCGCGAGTTTCGCTGACGATCTGAGTCTCCCCCAGCGCCATTCGGACAGCAACACTCTCGCCGTCTCCCTGCAAGCGATAGAACCTTGTCGAACATGGCGAATCGCTGATGAGAAAGAGAAATAGCCAATCGAAAGGTGAAGTCGATGACTTCAAACCTCCATCGCAACCAAACTACACTCACGGCTCCGAGGAGTTGCATTTTATCAACAGAATACTTTTCAGCCATGACGTCCGCGACAGCGTTCGCCCCTAAGAAGAGCGAGTTCCAGGAGTGAGCGCTCCCAGACTGGGATCGGAGTTTCGCCTGTTTTTCGGTCTTGAAAGAAGAGCCCGCCTTGTCTGGAAAATGGGAGCTCTCTCTTATCGCTGTCATCTCTCCGGGAGATCTCCCCCCGAGACTCAGGAGCTGCAGACAATGCTCGAGAGAAAGGTACGTCGGTCGTGAGAAGATACTGAGTCTGCGGCGAAGGCACGTGAAAGTGGCTACGGATGCTACCTTTCGAGAGCAGCGGGTCCTCCTGTTTCGCCAAACCGGGAATTATATGCAGGAGACGCCCATGGAAAGTCGTGTAATCAAGCGCTTGGTGGGCTTTCATCGCATGTTCCGGAAAGACGTAAGCGACGAACGCGAATCCTTTCGGTTTTTTCGTTATGGAGTCGATGCTCAGATGGAGCTCCGCGATAGGACCGAATGGCTTAAAGAGGTCCTCCAACTCGTTCTCAGTGGTGGTGTACGGCAGATTCCGGATGAAGAGACGCCCGGTCTGGAATGATCGGAATAGGGATCTAAGTCCAAGCAATTCTTAGGCGGGGTAGCTGTCGGTCATTCCTTGTAATTCCACTGATCACGCTGTCGAGAAGGAAATGATCACTCACATCGGCGACGACTTCGGGAGCGACTTCTTTGTCTTTGTAGGCCGAAACGGGTTTCTCTTGAGTTTCCTTTGTTCGGTCGGAATGTTTGAGCACACGAACCTGACGGCGTTCCATGAAACATTTGTCGAGCCCCAGGGCTTCCTTCAGATCTTCCTCGGTCTCGAACGCCACGTAAGCTACACCTAATTATGTGAAATGTGATTTCAGCCGTCGACTCTTGAATCTTCATGTGACTAACAACACTCGTTCATAGCTCGGTCGATGAGGATCTCGTACGGATGGCTGATTTCTCAGCGAGAATTCATCGCTGACCTTTCACTCCGGCTCGGAGACATTTTCGGATCGAACACACGGAGAGACCTTTGAAAAAGCTCTTCAGGTCTTTCCGTTTCCACTTGAAGGACAAATTTCGGACCACCACGACATGGGGGAATATCTCTTTGGGCAGCTTCTTGTCCGAATCGTTCACTTCGCAAGGAGGATCTGGAATAAGCGGTGATCGAACGTCAGGTCCTTGCGTGGATCGTTCCGAAATCCATCCAAAGTCAAGAAACCACACACACCTTCATCCGTATGCGTCGTTCCCGCAGACGTCTCTTGCTTTGCTTCATCGTTTGTCCAAACGAGTTTCTCGCTCTGATTGACAGCCAAGAACTCCTTGAACTTCTCGTCCTCCTCTGGTACATCACCGAAGACTTCTTTCAGGAAATCTTTCTTCTCTCGGCGAATTCTCTGTAAAGTTGCGATCTCCCTAAGGCGTCGTCCTCCCGAAACAGCGGTGGATGAGAACGCATCTTCCAGTGATTCGGAGCTCTAGAACATCCGCTCTGTCCAGGCGGACAAGCGAGCCTTCAGTGGTTTCTTCTCCCATACCTCTTTTTCCAGCTTTTCCTTCCTTTCTGTCTCTAGCTGCTCAGCTTTCTGCTTTGCTTCTTCAGGGTGTGTTTTCAAGTATGCTGTGCTCCCCTCGGAATATTTCGACCATGGACGAGGCTTCTCCGCCAGCTCTTTCGAAATTTCGACATGGAGACGGGATGTACCTGGGGGGCTCAGAATGTCCGAAGGCTGCTCGCGGAGGGGGAAGCAAGACATCGCGTAGGTATAGAACAATAAATCGGGAAAAGGAACAAGAACAAACCCATGAATGTTTTGTCGAAATATTTCTGCGCTTCTTCTGCCTCATTTGAGGAGGCGAAACCGATGAAACCGAAACGTCGAAACTTTCCTTCTGGTGTGAACTTGAGCGCGACATCGGTGACGGTCCCTTTCGAAGAGAAAAAATCCCGGATCTTATTCTCGGTGGCCTGGAAGGATGTAGATATTAAGGTGGCGCGGAAATTGTCTCGACGATGATACCATTCGAATGATCAACAAAAGGTTCGAGTCAAGAGGGACTGTCGAGATCGCATACCTCTTTTGGAAAGTTTTTCACGAAAAGTCTGCACGACATCTCGACTTGGATCACACGCTTTTCGCTTTGACGAGCCCTGCACCTCACGACGCTCAAGAAGACGCGCCGACGCGAATCTTCGTGAGATCCCGCTGTCACACGCAAAACCTCATCTCCCAAAGAATCAGCTGCGAAATCGATTCCGCGATAGCGACGACAACAAGGTATATAATAACAAGCACCATGTGCGCCGAGTCGAATCGAAACCACTCGTTGTCTCCGAAGTGGAGAGAAGGGGGGCAGTGGCGCGATTTTAGATCTTCTAGCTCCTTAGTACGCATGAAATTCGGTTTCCAAGCTTGTACGCTTGGTAGTCACCTTTGTATGCTTGTCCGTCTGCTTCATATAGCGTACGATTGTACGTATGTCAAGTCTGTAGGAATGAGAAATGAGCACATGGAATCCGCGGGGTGAAGTTGCACAAAAATGGAATCTGTCGATGAGATTGTTAGGCAGGTGATAGTTTTGCAGCGATTTCCGGGAGGAATTCTGGTTCACTCAGAGTTCGATGCTCAGCAGGCGCGGTCCATGCGGATCGTACATATGCCCGCATGATTCAAATATATGGTACGAACATATGGACACTCTTATGTTAAACGCTTAAACGCAAAAAATATGTGAAATCAACGGGAGGTGACCGGGAACGATCCCCTGGGAAAGGCCAAAAAGGGAACACTTCCTCATGAATTCTGAAAAGGGGATCTCGCTGTCGAAATTACGGGGAGCGGACAAAAGGACCGAAGAAGCATGTGTCCTCCTTGATCGAAACTCTACTCATTGAGTGAACCCTCCCAATCTCGGCTCTCAACCCGAATCGGTCCGCCGTTCTCTGAAGAATCTGTTTTCTCAGAATCTCGTGACGTAACTTTCATCCCTCGCTGAAGGCCGCCGACAGTTCGTTTTGTAGAGTTTGGAACTCCATCTCTGTCCGAGTCTTCTCGCTTTGATCCCCATGTTTCCTGGCTCTCCCCTACTTCGGGTTTTCCTCTTTTTCTCGCTTGATAGTCTCTCGTATGGCCCTCGAGGAGAATATGCTCTCTCTTTTGAGCTTGATATCTCATGAACTTTTGCGGATACTCATCCGTGTCGCCTACTTGACATCATTATTTATCATCTCTTTGCGGAATTCTTCGATTTATTGTCTCACTGGAGCGTACTCGTGGATCGACCGGCGCGTAGATCCTTCGACTGAGGATTATAATTATAAGATTCTGGCTCTCACAGGACTCCAACAACAGCCTCTCCCAGGTATTGTTGTGGCCTGGGAAGAGATGGGTGTGCATTGAAGCCCCCGCCAATTATCATCAGTCCTTTCCCATGGCATCTTCCATCACAGTGATGATTCCGGATATCGATTTAAGCTGATTCCCATATGAGGCTATCGACGAGTGTGCAGTAGATTGGTATCATCGCTATCCAGTCATCACCAGCTCCCTTTCCTCCTGGATCGCGGTGATTTGCCGAAAGAATACATGTTTGTTCTCGCCACGCGGGCCTCTGCCAGGAGTCCTTTCGGGGTCTGAACCCCACTCGAGGCCTCTCTTGAGTTCGCTAGGAGGGTCTTGCCGCTCGCCGTCTGTCCTCCGTCGGTGAATAGTCCCGCCGGGGACGACTCGTCTGCGGAGATCTATCGCGGCCCCTCGAACGTTTCTGTCCGACCCGGGGCTTAGATCTCGACCGCGATCTGCCATTCTTTCCTGTATCGGATCGGACGACTCTTACGTCTTATCCTCCTTGGGGCATTGACTCGCTTCCCCATCGATTCGAGTCTTCAGTACTCTTCCGCGCTTCCGACCTATATAACGAAGAAGCGGAAGACTCCCTATCGACTCCAGGTGGATGCTCGACGCCGGCCGTAGGAGCTCCGGCTCGGAGCAACTTGATGGGCTTTTGTGGCCCTCATGTTCATCATGGCCCTCTCGGCTCGATAACAGAACGTAAGCTATTGCCAGACAAAAGATATGTCTGGATGAGGCACGGAACACCAAGGAAACGTTCCTGGCTACTGGATCTGAGAATACTGAGACGCTTTGTCGTCACTTAGTCTTCCCGTGTGATGAACTCCCTCGAAACAGCATCCTTATCCTTTTTCTTTGGTGTTGACCATTCGAGGCATTCGAAAAAGTTTCGCACCCTTCGCCGCAATGTGCATCATTTCTGCAGGAGGAGAAGCATCAGCTAGCTGATGGTTGTCCCGGTCTTATTGATAACCTCACTACGGAGGCGTGAATGCTCTCATCTGGACATCGTCTCGAGCCTCCCCGCGGACGCAGAACTTTTGTCTTTCTGATCAGGGGAGTTTCTTAATTCCTGATACTGTGGAACCTGGATGAGATGAGGACCACCTCCGCAATTGAACCACCTCAAGTATCCGACCACTCTCTCCGGGCTCCGAACCAATAGACTCATGCGCGCGGTTTCAGGAGTCTACAGGGATTTGTGCTGCGTTCCTGTTTACCACCAAGACGGGTCTCCGGATGCACGAAGTAGGAAGTAACTCGACGATCCGCAGCCCGGAGATTATCAGGTAACTCGCCCGTGTGCCCCAATGATTATTTGGATCAAAGATCAGAGAGGCCTCCCTGCAGCAGTTTGGCACTCGAGAGATAATCCATTTCACTTCCAGCGAGAAGACGAATCCGGAGCTTCGAGTCGGGAAGCCTTGCATCGAGGTCAGTCTGCATTTACGTATTTACCAGAGCTCTCCATACTCATGGAGATACGAGCAAGACGAAAGTAGAAAATAGGATCGTATTCAATTTATTCTGTAGACGGAGTCAACTCCTAGCGACTGCAGGTGACGACACTTTGAAGTTATTTTTTGGCATCCATGAAGGTGTGAAAACTCACCAAGGATCGTGGGTTGGATTGATTTGACGTCGATGGCGAGTGTTTCACAACCCTATGTAAGAAAGGATCTTGCAGGTTGCTCTCAATCCTTTCACACGAGGTCACGTACCCCCATACTTCACTGAATAAAAGTCCCAGGTCACAGATTTTTGGTCCTGACAGTATATAGTGGAATTCTTCGGATATATACATTCTCTACATAGCATGCGGTCACGTTCCGCTCCCATGTACAATTGATGGCTCGATCCAGAAATCAAAACTCCTCACTGATTTGGCTGCCGATTGTTCGAGATCACAATATTTCACGCGGAGATTGATGGGCGATCCATCGAAATCCAAAAAAGCTAACTCAATCACAACACGTCAGGAGGGGGCAGCTGATCTGATTCGTGGAAGCCCGAGTCCCGCGCCTTCCCTCGTGGTTCCAACAGGGCGGACTTATGTACACACACATTGCTTACAGAGTACATTGCTACACACCCAACCACATGATCGATCACTGTACATGATATTCCCGTTATTTTCCTCGAAGATATTCTTTCCTCTTCAGACCAGCCAGTTGTCCTCGGGTGCTAACTGAGTCATCGACTTTTCGCTGGGATTTGTAGGAGATTGCAAGGGGAAGATGAATTGAGATCCGAATTGGATATCACTGAATTTCTGATCAGTCTTCTCGCGCAAGGTGCCGAAGTGGGTCAGCGTTGTTTCGTCGAAACTGGTCCGTATGTTCGAATCGTCAAAATGTCCTTTGTCATGGAGCACAACCTGGATCGAATAATCTCATCATTCTTATCGGAATCATGTCGGGACCGGATATAAGAATTGCCCTCGATTTCAAAGCCTCTCGAAGGATGGATTCTTACGATAGAAATTAATTTTGTTATCGTGGAAGATAAGGTGCTGACTACTAACCTGAGTCGTGATCACTTTCTGGGATTCCGTTCGGCACATGCACCAAATCACTGCTAGGATGCATAGCACACAAAATGCGAAAGCGATCACGAGGAGGGTAGAGAAAAGCGCGATCTGGAGTCCTAGTATCTGGTGACCGCTGCTGCCGCTGTCTGGATTATGGAAAAAAACAATCAGAGCATAGTTTCACTCTTCCGATGACGAAGCTTGATTGATTGATTAGGATTAGCAGAGCTGGCAACTAGTGATAACTTGTCCTATCGAAAGGAATAGAGGAGAATGGAATGAGTGCCCCTTGCAAGAATAAAATAATATTTTTATCAATGACTTTTACCGTAGCACTGAGCATTTTCATTCTCATCGCTCTCATCCCCACAATGATTGACTCCATCACACAAAAGGTCCCGGGAAATGCAATATTGCTGCAGTTGCCCGCAGGTGTATTGTTGGCAGAAGAGCTGCTCATGTTTGGGATTATTCATATCCTAGAATTAAATGAAAGCTCTATCATTCATGAGAATCTTCACGGCTTCCAGGGAGCAATTCTAAGGAGACTCCTCTGAGACGGGATACTTAGACCGGGTCTGGTGACCCGGTGTGATAGGTCAGACTACCCACCTTGTAAGCCGTGATGACAAGCTTGAAGCCGTTATTCGGTTTGCTGAAGCTATCGGTTGTGTATTTCAGAGTCACGTAGTTACTCTGCGTGAAGATTGTGCCTACGTCCGCCAGGGTGCTCCGACAGGACAAATCCACCTGCGTTAAGATATTTTAGAGGTTCCTTCTTTATAGATGATGCTCAGTACTCTACGAGTTGCTCAACATGGGAAGTAGAAACTACGAACCTTGCTCTTGCCGATTGCGTGCGCACCATCGAAAATCGTGAGGTGATCGTTGCAATCCAAGGCAAGCTTCTCAAAGCGAATCATGAATTTTTGTAGGATAGAATCTGTCTGGAACGTGATGACGCAATCCAAGTTGTTCTCGCTCTCCGATGTGAGGACAGCGCCTTGGACTACTTTGTACTGCGGGAAGCCGCGATCGCCCGAGCACAGTGACGATATATGGACTTGAAGGATACAGGAAACAGAACTCAGGCTCGGTCCACATCGGACTTTCCAAGTACGAACGAAATAGAGATCGATCGATTCTCGAATGATAATAATAGTTCACGATGTAAATAAACCTACAATCTCGATTCTTGTCCGCCAGAGATGCCTGTGGGGCTTGATCCACGATTATCATCAAACAAATCACCCAAGACAAGATAGCGCTTCGACTCATCGACATGATGATATCCGTACGGAATCCCGTGAATGCTCGGATGTGGAGGAGTTGACAGAACTACTGTAGGTCGTCCAAAGCTGCCGCGGAAATTCCTACTGTCATAAGTACGGGCTAATCACTGGAATTCGAAAATCATAGACTGAGTCGACCGTCCTGAAAGGTGTTGTTACACGTGTTGAGTTTCCCGGCCGGGATATGTTAGGTTATCCAATGTTGTCCCCGAGTGATAATGGAGTTTCGCGTATGATAGCTTATTCTCACCGGTTTCAAGAAGAGCGCGGCTCTCTATGCAATTGTCACACAATCGCTCCAAACGTCTACCACTGATTTCGATCTCCAAACTCAAAGGGAAAGCATTCCCTCGCTGTTTGACTAGACAGTGTAGAGTCTATTCGAGTTTTGATTGTCAAACCTTTCGCCCCTGCGGGGTAGACTGTCCCAGACCGAGGGAAAGAGGGCGCTCATCTGAGTGGAGCCCTGGGGACTCTCTCGCCCGCCCGCTCTCTCACCCCGTACTCAAGAGCGGTAATGTCGAGCTTCACTCCGAATGCTTCCCCTGCTTAGCCCGCGAAGTTTCATGTGGTATGGAATCTAGTACCTCCTCAAGAGTCTTCTGTCATATGGGCGCGTCCCCGCAAAAGTCGACTTCCCCGTATGCGTCGTTTTCGAGACCCTTATCAAGAGTATTCTGCCCAGTTCAAGCGCCCTCAGCAATTAATCACAATGACAAATGACTGTATCCGATCCACGGGGCTCACATCTTGACACTGAACTACCTGAGCTTCAGTTTGGAGTATCAAGCGGCACCCTCACCTGCCCCGGGTTGGATGGCTCCGCGAGCTGGAAGTTGATTCCGAAGCCGATTTGAATTCATGCTAGAAATTCTATCCGCAAGATAATTTCTCTAGAGCAGGAACTCAAATCGGGATGCGAAGATGAATGCCGAGATTCCTTCGGAGAGCGGAGCCGATTGAAGAATGCGTGGGGGGAAACGACGACTCGATGGGACGTCGAGCCACAGTGGAGAAGGGAGATTTCCCAATCGATGATTCTCTCCGACGTGTTCTCATCATCGGAATCTTAAGATTCTTCACGTACCAGGACGAGGGAACGCAAGATTCCCCTGATGGTACGCCGTGGGAGCTGCGGGATATTCTGCGCGATGACGCTTCTTCGTCAGGGAGCGGAGCAGCCGCAGCGGGAGTGACTGAGCTCCTGGAGAGAGTCGCTGACGAAGTCTCGAATCTGGCTGACCTGCAAGAGTCCTCAAAGGTCGAAGGAGCAGTCCATCCAGCTGACTGACTTGGCGTTCGATTTCTGACGAGGATCGAGGATCTTCCCATGTTTCCAGGACTCGCTCGGCGATCTATCTTATGCCTTTCTCTCCATTCCGGAGCTCTCCGATGCTGATGCCCGATTCGCAGTTTCTGGAATTCACACCCACAAATCAGGCGGAGAGTCTACGTGGCCTCAAGAAACAGGATTAAAAGAGCGCGACGTCCATAACTCGAGGAGTTCCCCATGGGAACAGCCGGAATCTTCCCCGAATGATTCGTGGAGGGCTCTTGAAGGAATACCGAGTCTGGTTTCGAGGGGAAGGACTTCTGCTCTCATTCCACCAGTAAACTCCACCGCATTCGAGCAGCTCATCGAGAGAACAGAGAGAATGGCGAGACCGCAAGTAGTGGCTTTCCACCTGCTGCGAGAATCTGGAGAAGCGGAATTTATGGACGGGGAGTTATGCAAGTTTAAGTATGTTGTCCGGATCCTCGCGACTTTTCGTAATCTGCGCTGCAGCTTCAGGGTTCCTTTGATGTAACTCGAAACCGTTCTGAAGTCGAACACATCGGATGCCGTTGGTGGATCGGGACAGACTTGTGTCGGGGATGGAAAACTCGCGCATCCATCGAGTGACAGCACACAGAATCGCTCACCCGGTCGCTATATCTAGGTGCGAGTCGCCCATCCCCGAGGGCTATCAAGAGACGCCGCGCCGGCGCCGCGGACACTTGGTCGGAATATCTGGAATCTGAGAGCAGAGAATTCAGTCCTTGGTAACGGAGGAGGAGTGATCGGAAAAACTCGGGGAATCGCATCGCAATGTCTGCCGGGATACGCGACTGTATTCGATCTAACCTAATATCATATAAATCTCCGCTCAAGCGCTTGGTCCCGGACGGAATTTCTATACCTCAACGAAATTCCACGCCCACAACCCCGTGGAATGTGGCACATATGCATAAGCATGGGTGACAGCAATTAGGGGAGTCCAGGGATTCTCCTCCCCGTGGAAATTCCTCGGATGCGATGAATCGGTCGAGCTGTCGACTCAGCTCGACTTTGCGGTAGGTTGGACGGGTGACCGTCCCGTGCGCGTTAGGGTCTCCCCAAGATAGTATGAGGGCTCTTTGTACTCACCGAGTGTGCCATGGGGCGTATGAATATGCATTAACCCAGGCCTGAGGCGTTTATACCTTCCGTGAGAAGGGAAGCTCCCCGCCTGAACTGTACTGAGAATTCATATATTTTACAAGCCGCCGCCATAGTTCCACCCATGCATCATGGACTTAAATACACGTCAACCCCCCGGCAGGCAGGGCTCGTTTCCCGAAGTCTGAATCCGACCCGGTAGACGCCCGTGTATGGTACTTTGCACCTGAGGGAGCTCTTGCGCTAGGACTTCGAATAACTTCGCATATGGGCCTATGCCCCCCGTTGTAAGGGCGGGTCGGGCTTCGCGCCCTCCCGTGCGGAGTGTTCCTCATGCGCGTGTTCCTTTGTCGCCTATTCTCAGTAGATATCCTAAAGGAAATGTTCCGTGTTCGTGGGGGTCCCTCATGCGCCGGTTCCGCCCGGGAAAACGACCTCTCATCCGGATTCTACATTCTGGGAATTCCCTGTGGACAGCATTCCTGTTACAAATAGCTATGAACAACAGCGAGCTAGCGTGACTCGCGAAAGTGATGAACGATGACCTCCTGCGGAACCTTATCCCTTGCACGCAGGACTCTATGGCTATTGTATTTTTAGGAAATCTCATAGGCAATCGTAGGGAGCAACCCTCCCCCTAAGCCTGATTGTCCTGTCTGAGGGGCATCTGACATCTTGTGTACAAGTATTTGTCTCGGCTGTCTTGAAGGTACATGGATCGTGGCAATCGCCGGCTCTCATACCAACGATGGAGCATAGCCCATCCTGCGGGACAGGACATACAGATCCCCTTCCGGAAGGTGACCTTCCCTATTTCCGGTATACATACAGGTAATGCGCCCAGGTACGTGAGCTCATCTGAAGGGGACGTGAAGAGGACTCCAGATCCGTCGAGAAACTTCTGTTCGCGAAGGAGCCGCGCGAGTACCCTCGGGCGCCCCCGCCGCGGCGCATAGTTTGGATCCAGAAAGAATTCGTCCGAGTCTTCTATACTCCATCATCAACACTCACAATCAGCAGGCAACATGCCCCATCAACATTCCTTGAGAGAAAGAGAGCCCCTCTCTTCGCCTGCTCAACGGGTATTCATCGAAAACGGAAACTCCATTAAGGACCCCATCTTGCGCGGTGCGGGAAGGACTCAAAGCCCATGGCCCTCCGGAATCTGAATTAGTTCAACGAACCTGGAACAAAAGAAGGACGAATCCTCCATTTCACTCGTGACTCGTGATCCAGTGGTGATGCGGAAGTCTCCAGTTTCCTCGACGTTCCACGCTGCCCAATTCTGCCCGAGCCGTGGCGGCTCCCACATGATGCATAATGAGCTCTAGCTCCGTATCCTTCCGGATTTGGGAATTTTTTGAACTCCCCCTCTTGGCCCCCATGAGACGAGGCCCGCTATTGTAGTCTACCTATGAGGGATCCGCTCCACAGGCTCTCGCATTTAGCTAGCGGAAGGATGAGGAGGGTGTTCCGAATAAAGGGGAGCCTCTTATCAGTATAATTTTCCTCGTGGTATCTCCTCGTGACGACCCCGGAAGCTCGGAACGACCCATCGTATCGTAGGTGGACGAATCCTCCATTTCACTCGTGACTCGTGATCCAGTGGTGATGCGGAAGTCTCCAGTTTCCTCGACGTTCCACGCTGCCCAATTCTGCCCGAGCCGTGGCGGCTCCCACATGATGCATAATGAGCTCTAGCTCCGTATCCTTCCGGATTTGGGAATTTTTTGAACTCCACCCTCTTGGCCCCCATGAGACGAGGCCCGCTATTGTAGTCTACCTATGAGGGATCCGCTCCACAGGCTCTCGCATTTAGCTAGCGGAAGGATGAGGAGGGTGTTCCGAATGAAGGGGAGCCTCTTATCAGTATAATTTTCCTCGGGTATCTCCTCGTGACGACCCCGGAAGCTCGGAACGACCCATCGTATCGTAGGTGGGCGCCGCTCTATGTTTATAGGTCGAGAGGCGGATAAAAGTTAATTGGAGGATGGCGGTGTTCGGTATCATTTCGGAATTCTTGGTCGATATCTCCGATGGGAGAGCTCGATTCGGACCACTAGCTTCGCCGAGAACGGGGTCGGTTCAGAAATCTGCATGTCGGAAGATCCCGAGAAACCGCCACAGAGGGTTGGGTTAAAAGGCTGAGAGAGAGGGTCAAGTTCTCGCCGAAGAATTCCGAGCTCCGCAGATTGGTATAAGGAGGAACCCGGATCGAGCGATGATTCAACTCCTGCTGCATTCGCTCGTCAAGCGCACCGCGGTGCTCTTACCCCGGACATTCTACCCCCCTTGAGGTTGTCAGCGTAGATTCCCTCGGAATGGAAGTCAAGCCAAAGTACTTCACTTGCGTCGATTGCCTAGCGAACTTCCCGAAGCTCACGGACCTGAAACGACACATGCGAACCCACACAGGAGAAAAGCCGTATGTCTGTACGATCTGCAAGGCTTCGTTCTCACAAGCAGGAAACCTCGCTACCCACAAGCGAATTCACAATGGAGAGAAGACGCATGCTTGCGAGGAGTGCGGGAAAATGTTCAAGCAGAAGGCACATCTGATCTCTCACTTGCGCTTCCACACCGGTGAGAAACCTTTCGCTTGCGATAAATGTCCAGCCAAGTTCGGAAGAAACGAGAATTTGAGAGTCCACAAGCGGCTGCATACGGGCATCAAGCCTTACCGATGTGATAAATGCCTGCGGGAATTCAGCGATCGGAGTAACTACAGACGACATCTATCGAGACATGACAAATAAAGAAGAATCATACACGTCCGAGAAGTCATTTTTTTTCAACGACGCGATCCGAAATCGCTCTGGAGCCCGGGGAAAATGGGAGAAGGTTATGTACCATAGATCTCAGGCTCAAGTCCGCTATCCGCGAAGTTGGACCGGTCCTTATCCGCCTCTCATAATCAGCAGCCAAAGATTTGTGGTGCCACGGGACTCCACCGGACGAATTCCCAGAGCCTCCGGAATGCTCCCGACCTTCCCTTAGGACCTATTCCCGGGAATGACTCCCTGATACTTTCGGCGAAACATTCCTTATTATTCCCGGCGCCGGCTCTGACCGCGTGGGAAGTAGCTTTGAAGAGGCCAATCGATGGCAGGACTTGTTGGGTCAAGTTTCTCGCGATTGGGCGAGGTCGCAGAAGTCACGGTGACTCTATGAGAACGCTGTAGGCCTGCTCATGGGCCCGAGGTATGAAAAAAAGTCCGAGCTGCTGCCGATCCTGTTGTTCGATCGATCCTCCGCACATCTATAGTGAAATATTCTTCCCATGTTTCATTATCGTTGAGTCGAGGAGCAGGCGAGTCATTGCATAGATTCAATAAGAAGGACGACAGTGGTGTCAGGTGAAAATACCATGGATCGCAGGAATGACTATCAGATCGTTCCCATTCAACTCTATGTGTTGCGCGATTTGGGATCTGGTTTATTGTAAGACATCCAACTTTCAAAAGAAAGCTGTTCAACGATTCGTTTGGTTGACATATACAATCTGATTCCAATGTGCGTCAATCACAGACGCGAGACAGATCAATCTCACCGGAAACATTGAGTTAGGGACTTCTGCTCGCCGGCTCGGAGGAGTCGAACGGGCAGAGCACCCGCCGAGGGGCGCCGGCTAAGCGTCAGCTATGAGGCGGGAACGCTGCTGAAAATCTCCTCTATTCTTCTCATGTCGGATATAATGCTGTTTGAGGTTTTCTTCGTAGGCGAATTTGAGAGGGCACTTATCACATGGATAGGTTTGTTTTCCGTTGTGGAGTTTCAGATGACGAGTCAGGTCATTGCTTTGGGTGAATGCTTTGTTGCATTCGAAACACACGTAGGGCTTTTCACCGGTATGGATTCGCTCGTGGGATTTGAGATTCGTTTTGTCGGCGAAGCCACGCCCGCAGAACTTGCAGGGGAAAGGTTTCTTCCCCGCGTGTATCCGAACGTGTAAATCGAGGGACGTTTTCGTAGCGTAGCTCTGCTTACATAAACGGCATCGATACGGTTTCTCGCCCGTATGCGTTCGGACGTGTCGAATTAGATGAGCATTTTGGGAGAATGCTTCTTTGCACTCCGAGCAAACGAAAGGTTTTTCCCCTGTATGAGTTCGAAGATGAGTTGTGAGATTACCCCGCTGGGTGAACTTCGCTCCGCATTCGCTGCAAACGAAAGGTCTCTCTCCGGTATGTACGCGGTTGTGCCTCATCAGGCTCTGCTTGTCGGGGAACATTTTAAAGCAGACATTGCATTCGGGAGAGGCGTGAGTGCGTAAGTGGATCCTCAGCGTCTTGTTCTGACGGGGCACCGGGGAACGAGCATTGTGCGAAATCAAGTCTTTCTCGCCCTCTGTGCAGTGGAGGGGTTGCGGGGCTTTTTTCGGGAACGATGCCCGGTGACACTTGTTGAGAACGACGGTTTGTTCCTTTGTGCTTCCCATGTTGGTGCGGGTCTTCATATCACTTATCCGAGCCTTGTTTGGAGGAGGTTTCAGATTTTCACAACCTCACACAGTGATGCCGCATTTAACTTTGAAGTTTGCTGAGCCCACTCTGATTTCGAAAGAGACGACCTGGAAAAATAGAGAACGTTATTCGTCGAGCTCATGTGCAAACTCCAGGCCTGAGTGGGAGTATCAGCTCCGTACTGTAGGAATTCTCTTAAATCACGATGAATACAATCGGATGAATACGATCTCCGTTTTCTCTCTCCTCCGGGACTCACGGGAGCCGGGGCAATTGATCGTGAGGAAACAAGGAGTAGGGGAATGAGGTAGTTCACTATATCAATACCAGCATGAACGTAGAATGTCTTGACTTGTCGAAAATTCGCCAAGGCTGAAGCTCCTTCGCTCGACCGAGGAAGAATCGAAATTCTGACTGACGAGTCGGCATCGGAAAGCTCGAAGACCGACAGCCTCGCTTGAATGAATCACAGCTACTGGCGCATCGTTTAAGATTCAAAAGGAATTCAGAATGCTGCGAAGTATCACAGACTTCGGATAGTAACACAGCGGATGGCTGCTGTCGAGCCAATAACCGCGGAATCCAGCATTAGCAAGGATTTGAGACTCTTCCAGAGATATCAGAGATCCCATTCATGTCAAGTTCATTCCCAGGATCCCATCAGCGAGGTAGAAAGCCGAAGGATGCCTTGCCCGACCGGCTCAACATGCGTACGGATCTCCGAACGCTCTCAGAGGGAGAGACACGGGTCACGCCGCCGAGAAAGCTACAGCTTGGATGTTTCCGTACATACCGGCGGAGAGAATGATGTTTAGTCTTATTCATTAAAGAGTCCAGCAAGATAAGATTTACAGGAACAGACACTTGCTCGTTTTTCTGAGCTTTCAACGGCACTGGGGTTACAATGGCGGTTAGGAGCTTCGGGCAATGTGGTTGTTGGTGTTGTCGTTGTTGCTTGGTTGGTTGGTTGCTCTTTCAAAAAAAGGAGCGCCCTCTGGTGATTCGAAGCTTGCTGGCTGTATCTGTTAGCCCGCAAGCGGTGTATCCGCTAGGGGGCGGCAGTGCGGAAGAGCGTGACCGCCGATAGCAGCGCCAGGAGCGCGACCCGCTCCCGTACTGTTTGTCGAAACTGCAAGTTCCTCAAGGAAGAACATCCGGGTTTATCGGAGGCTAGACATCGCATGTAATCAAGGAGAAGGGAGAGCCAGAGATGTCACCACGATTGCTATATAGATTCGTCTCCAGGATCTCTTTACCGTAGCAAATGATGCGACGCGCCCGACGACGAAATGGGTTTCTGTGACCGCAATCGGATTCCCACGTTCGATGATGTTACCTTAGACTGAAGTATTTTCCCTATGCACATGAGACAATAGCATGGCTCTACACCATGGACAATGAATCCAGGAACTCTCTGCTCATTCGATCCCAGAGACCCACCCGAGAAAAATATTCGAAGCGCTTCTCTCGGGTCAATGCTTTTCGGCCACCACGGTGATGGACAAGAGTGGGATTCCAGCCGTGGATTCTCCGTGGGGTCTCGATATCTCTCTCCGCTGTCTTTGGTTATCATTGGGATCCCCGCTCTTGATCTCAGACGCATAGACATCATCGGGAAGGGGCGAGATCGGAGAATGCAGCGACGAGAGAGCGGTGCTCGGGCTCGGAGGTTTCATTCTAGAAGTTGTACGACAGAAGCTCCCCACGCAGCTCTGAGCAGATCTCCGACCTCGACTTCCCCATCCCACCGATTCCTTTGCTCGATTATCCTTATGCTTCCGATGACGGCGCTCTACACTACAGAACGCGATGGCGGTCCTTCCCGTTCGAATTATTTCCCGCGAGTGACGACATCCCTTGAACACCTGGGGAAACCAGCGTCAAATAAGTTTTTGTGTAGCACGAAACGTTTTTCTCACGCCAATAGAATCCATATTCGTAGACTCATGCCCGCCATCTCAGCTTGATCACCCTTCATCTGATGGAGCGGCCGGACAGGCTATTCGCACTGCCGGCCCGTATCGTCCGAGTTTCCGCTTCGGGCGGCGATGTATCGAACCCCCTATACCGACAATGAGTGATACCCTGTCTTCTCAAGATTTCCTGACCACATGAAGGGCTCGATCGCAGGACTCAAACAGAGACGGTAGAATTCATCGGGAAATAGGGATCTCTCGGGAGTAAAGAGGCGTCGATAGCTTGACTTGGATGATAGCTCATTAGGTTCCAACCAAGAGCTTCTGACTCGTTGTGGATCCCAGCGTGGAATTTTCATGCAGTTACACGGAGAATTCTCGCGCAGTTTTATTCATTCTCATAGACTATTCATTCAATTCTCGGCGCATAAGAGCCGAGGATCGCTTCATAAATTTATAACAGGGAGAAAGAGGAGGACTAATCCTCTTTCAGTGGAAGCTCTCGATGATGCGACGGGTTTTCGAGCCCTCGCTCCTCGAATAGATTCGGAGAAATATTCGCCTTGTGGTCCCGATCCCGAAAATGCCTGAATATCGTGTTGTCAGCACTCGGAGATGGCTCGGATTCCGAGTTGGTCTGACAACCTCATGAAGGACTGCTTGAACCTCATTGAACACGTCTCGCAAGGTCGGTCTCTGGATTGGAGCGTATAGCTGACTCATTCTTACGAAGAGTCTATAGGGGTGATGCAGTAGTAGTCTCGCAGTATTCTTCGTTCCAGACGCGCGGCATACTCTCCTTCTCGAGCAACCTGATTCCCGTAATCCACCGTCACTCGATGAAAACCATCAATACCACCTCGTCCACCGATGTTGTATTGGAGAACGAGGTACAGATTTTTCGCCGGGAAGTCGTGCTCGAATGTCCAGGGACGGAGCCGGGAAGGATCCGGGAAGTCCGCTTCGATTGCCGAGTTGTGGCGTGCTTCCGAGATCCTGACGTTCTCTGAGAAATCCTCCCTGCCCTTCGTTCAACTAAAAATCCTTTCGACGCTAGTTATTCTATTCCATGGAAGACTTCCCACAGGATATCATCCGAGGGAGGGTTGGGGATTGTATAGGATGCCGGGGGAATCGCAAAGCTCCCGATGCTTAGACACATTGATCCGAGACGTTTCCTTCCCTGGGTACCGATCCAGGAGGCTGAGCGACTCCGAAACCCCCCTCCGGAGGAGAAAAAGCAATATCCCCCCCCAGATTTTGCCTCGGGTTGGGAAACTCCAACAACTGCACGCTAATTCCATTTACGGCGCCATCCAACCGAAGTACCGCGGGTCCTACTTTCCACAAGAGAGGTCTCGGGCGTCAACAATCTCGAGCAGATAGAAAACAAAATATTTCAGAACGCTTCCGCGTCGTTCCTCGGACAGCGTTCGAATCGCCAAAATGAGCGATGATCCATCGGGAGGACCTGGGCCGAGTCACAGACAGCCCCTGACGAAAGGAGAGAGGCACATGGTGGACCTTTATCGATCTTGGGGACTCGAAAAGTATGAGCCGAGGCTCATCGAGTTCATGCTGGCATTCAATCGAGGTGAGTGTCATGAAGCACTCGATGTCAGCGATCGGTAACTACGTACTCACAACGATCGGGAGCGAATGATTGATTGGTGGATCAAGTACTTGCTCGGATTTTCCGTGAGCCTTCGGTATCGTCCCCTTTGCGAGAGATGAGGTCAGCGAGCCGAATGACCGCGTTAGTGTCTTCGTTCGGCCGATCGAACAACACTCTGTGGCGACACATGAGCCGTTGGATGAAGGCTCCAGCTCCATTTTTCCCACAGAGTACTTGAACGACGGCCTCCCTCCGGACGAATATGACGAAGCAGAAATAGAGGGCGCGGCTAACAATGAGGGCTTTGGCGATGACGGGGATGCCCCGACGGAGAGGGGTGCGGATGAAGATGGCCCTGTAGAGCAGGACGAGACGGCCGCCAGAGCCCCGAAGTCTCGGCGTATCGAAATGGCCCCGAGCTCGGGAGCTCGAGCCGTAGGAAACTGCGTAGAATTGAACGGGTATTCGGGAGTGCCAGATCGAGTTCCGGAGCTCGGTTCTTCGCCGGCACCGACCGTCCCGGCGGAAGCTATCGTCGATGCTCCAACTCTGCAGCAAGCCGAAGTTCCCATTGATGAAGTGCCCCCACCAGTGTCCCCGGTCGTGCAGCAAATTGCACCAATCGCGGAAGAGGCGCCGAGCGTAGCACAACCGTCTCCGCAGCTGCAGGAGCAGCAGCAGCCTCCGAAAAATGAAGGGGAATCGCTGCAGAACCCCTCGAGTCGACCGGGAACAAGTCAGCAGAGACCAATCGAACGACTCCCCCTCCAGCTGATACCGAGCACCCCATCTGCAAGAACCTGGATCTACCTGCCGCGACAAAGAAGGAGACCCGAGGCGGCATTGCGACCGATACGGTTCCGAAGTATTCAAGGTCTGGATTTCCCCGCCAACAAACGCATTTCCGGGACAAGGCGTGTCATAGTCAAAATATGTCGTAACTGTTGGGAATTATGCTCTCCTAGAACCTTCTAATCGAAATCCGCAGTCATCCCGAGGAACGACGGTCGACTAGCGGCTTACAATCTCTTCAACACTAATTCTGTGATGGCATCACCGAGCTCTTCTGATCCCCCATCGGTCGTACCAACTCAGAATGTTGGTACAATCAGGCGAATATACGTGACCAAAGCGATATTGGTCAAAGGTGAGCGGTTGATTTTCGCCTTACGAGTGCAAGCCTTTTCAAAGGGTTCAAAAAGTTTCTCCTTTCCGACCTCCAATTCCCTCGAAGCGCTTTCGGCATAAATCTTGGGACATCGATCCAATCGAGACGAAAACTCCTCATAGACGTCTCGCATCCTTTCCCAATTCAAGCCGCGGAACCGGGAGCTACCCAAATAAGTCATGTCGAGGTCCCACCAGCCGCTTCAAGCTCCGTGATACCGACGAGACCGAACAATGCGGCCGCATCGCAGCTCGAGGAAGCGAAAGAAAATCAATCCACGAAGAAAACAGGTAGGACTTGATGGTCAGGTTAAGTTTTGCGTCGCATTTGGTTTATTTTCATCAATTGCAGATCCGGACCAAAACAAGCGGAAGAGGGAAGACTACGAATGATTCGTGTTCCACATGACTCAGACCGCTCATTCCGGACTTTTGAAATCAAGATGACCACAGAAACACGGTGTACCCCTCCCATTCTTATTCTCACATGCGAAGCTTCGCTCCGAAGAATAACTATCTCGATGGCGACGATGATAAGGGCGCGTTCTACGGCACCTCGCGCGAATCAATATCAAGATGGAGATTCCGCCCACGATCGTTGACATTCGAGAGATTTCGCTGAGCCAGCCTCAGAGCATGCATTATGACTTTTCCCCGAACAAATATTAATAATCCAAATGACCGCAGAAACCTTCGGCGAATAAATGGAGCTCATATACAGAACTCCGACTTTATCCCCTTGCCTCGGAGGACGTCATGGAGAAGATTCTCCGTGTGTAATCGAGATGAGCCATCTCATCGGACGCGGAATCCGCCAGGAAATTTTATTTTTCGCTCTCCTATATACAAAGTAAAAAGTAAGAATTCGATGAAGAGGAGTAATCTTCGCTTCGAGTGAGTTCCGTCGGACTTCGCTTTTTTCCCAATGCCGATGATGCCGACAATCCCCAGCCCGGAATGACCCAAGGCGAAGGACCTCCCCACATTTCTCAACCGGAGCTGGGCGGAACCTCGGCCAGCACTGGAGTTCGACTAATACAAACGCTCAGAAAGGATGGAGCGATCCGCAACAATGAGACGAATGCCGTGAAAGAATATTGTGCTCCAAGGCTCAGCGTATCGGCGATGCCGATCCGGCGTGGATCATTTACAATTGGCTTGTCGGACTCCCGTTATCACCGATCCATGCTCATAACGAACTCTATTTTCAGTGTATTCTTGTCAAGTCCTCGACGAGCTTCACGAGGTCTTCGGGCGTCATGTTACGCTGGTGACCGCCTTCTTCATCGACCTTGATCGACTGACTCACGCTTTCAAGCGCTTCTTTCGGAAGATCGAGGAGCTGTTCGATGAGATCTCCGTCGATGAAGCCGGTGGCGGGCTCGATCTGTTGAAGGGAGCAACAGGAGATAAGAACATTATAATACGGAGGCTCCTGAAGATAGAGAGAACGTAAGCAATCGGATATATGGAATAATCGAGGCTCTCACCTTCCGCTCGGCTAGGAAGGTACGCCAGAAGCCGTGTTCTATTTTGCCGACAGACTTGATAGTTTTGGCCAGGTTAGTCTGAATCTGGTTCAAGATCGCGTACAGTTCCTGCTTTATGGGCACGATTACTCCGACAGCTCCGTGGAGCGATCCGTAAAGGAAACTCTTATTCAAAGGAAGAGGCATGTCTCCCGGCTGCGCCATGACGAGGCTACCCTTGACGATAACGTTGACCATTTCACCCAAGTGGTAGAGCGCCACTTCATGCATATGCTGTCGGGTGTCGTCGGCCGCCGACGGGTCCCGTTTGCAAACGTAGAGATTCAAGTTGCTCTCGGCTGCGAGGAAGGTGTCCTCATCGAGGATTTCGACGGCTGTTGTCCAGTTCGTCTGATAGTCCCTGCCTATCTCTTCGAGTGAGGTAATATCTGCGTTGTAGTTGAGCAGCGTCATCGAGCGCATCAGATCCCCCACCAGAATATAATCGCCGAGGCATTTCAGATGTAATATGACGATGTTGAAGAAAGGTGTGCACTCGCTCTGAAGATCCTTTTCCGCGTTCCACGAATAGAGTCTCACTGTTGAGTTTATTGCGATCGCCAGTTTCTGATGGAACTCTCGAATGCTGTACGGGGCTCCCGCGGCTTCTTTCTCCGCTATGGTTTCAAGTTTGCCTGCGAAAGCGAAAAACAGCAATCAAATCACTGCTACGGGGAGGGAGCCGATCCTGCACGAGGAGGAATTCGGCGAGCGTTCAGTCATCGGGAAAAGTCAACGAGCTCACCGTCATGCCATCTCAGCACGAAAATCCGACCGACTTTCGGTTCTGACTCCTCTTGGTTGATGAACGCTGTTCCAACGATATAGTACGGGTTTGGATCGCTGCCGAGCTTAGCGGAACAAATTGAAACCCCGTATTCATTTGGACAGAACTGCATTGCGTGGAGAACTTCGAACGTGTTCTGATCGATGATCAGCAACGAGAATGTTTCGTCGCATCCGCTCGGGGGACGCTGGAGAGATGTACTCGAGCAGGAGGGGATGCCGGAGTCGACGCGATCAGCACATTGAGTGTGACCGAAACTGCTGAAATCCTTATGCCAGGCGTAGGGACTCGCATTGGATTTATTCGGAGCGTCCAAACTGGCGCATCGAGTCGAGCACGCCATATCCGATCGGCTCACGATGACGCCGAAGGTCCCAGTCTCCTCCTGGTAAGCGATGCGTCTAGGCGACTCGCCCAAGGGAACGGTCCGGATATGCAGTTTCTGGATCGCGTCTATTGTTCCAATCACAAACTCATCTTCGGACGCTAGCGCGAGCGAGTCCGGGAAGGCTTCCGAACTGAATGAGCACATATGCTTGACTTCACGCAAGTTTACCTGGAATGCGTCGACCGTTAGACCACGCTCCCCGCGAACGACAGCTCCAATGATTCGAGAAAGGCCGGGAAGCTTCGGAAGAGCTCATCAGGCGATCCGAAATCCGCTCACCTTGCTGAAGACAAGTTTCGAGGTCGAGGAGTATATGACGGTGGGTCTGTCCGAGCAGGCAAACACACTCCACGTTCTCTGCGAGCGAAATTTACGCAGGGTCGTAGGCTGAGTTCCGAGCGTCACCCTCTTCTGCCCGGTCAGCTCACCGGTACTTGCTAGGTGGTAATAGAAGAGAGAGCCGTCGGCCAGCGTGCAGAGAAGGTAATCCGTCGAGCCTTCGAACGTTATTTTCAGGACTGATCGTGGTATGACGTCCTTGGGCAACTCTTGCCGAAAGAGTTGTTCAAGGTCCGGCAAACTCAGCACCAGTATCGATACGTCTGTCCAGAGGCCAACTGTGATGATCGACGTCTGATCGCCCTCCTTATCGAGTGTGTTGAGATCCATGCAAGCGATCTCGTACTCGAGCCTTGTTCGCTTGATCTCTGTGAGACTCCCATCCCTGATTTCCAGGTAAACGAGAACGTTTTTGAGAGCCAAGGCTACCTGGACATCGTTGCACGCACATTGCGTGATGATCTCCCCTTCCGGCGGGAACCATTGATCTACCCGGGTTTTGCTCGTGACAGATATCAGGTTGACCCTCTTGTCTGTGACCTGGATGACTTGGTTGCCGAGGACGTTTCTCGCGCAGAAAGTCTGACTGTCTATGTCAAATGCCGCCGGGAGGGTGACCTGTTCCAATTCCTCGGTTGAACTGCAGTTGAAAACTCGAGTTTGTCCCACAAACGATAACACCAGGGTATCATCCGTGGGTGTGTCTTCCTCTAACTGCGCCGTATTCATCCGAAGCGCCCAAATTCCTTTGATGCCGCTCAGCTCCACACAGGCCAGTTCGTGAATTCCGATACCATTGCGAATGATGCGCAGGCTACCGCACGCCCCCTGACCGGAGCATGTGATTAACTGGTCTTGGCCCTGCTTCTCCAGATCGACCACAATCATGTCGAGAATCGCGCCGAGATTCGTGTACGATTCTAAAACTTCGATGAAGGGCTCTTGCGCGTGCATCCGGATGAGCTGACTATCTCCTAGCCTCGAGCCAACGAATACCACGCCGTTGTCGAGATATGATAAGCACTCGGGTATGCTGACGCTGCCTAGAAGATCGAGGGAATGCGAGACGACTTTCTTGTTCTCACGTCGCAACGTCAGGATGAACAGTCGTCCACATATGCCTCCAAGGATGAATCTGCAATGTGATTGAATAATCAGCCCGAGCTCAGGCCTTCCGAAACGTGTCAGGCTTAAAAAAAAATCGAATTCCCAAATAATATTCGATTTGACATCACACTAACCTGTTGTTGTCGATTCGACAGTAGCAAGATATTTTGGTGGTCCTCAAAAACGACGGTTGGATACAGATATAGTCTTGGCCATAGTGATAGACTATGGTTTCGCCCCCAACAATGATAACTCCAGTTTCTGTGTCTTCGACGGGGATAAGCATATCCGCTTCGAGATCGAGGTTCCGTTGACCCCAAGGACCCTTCATGAGTTCTTTGTCCCTGCGATTAGAGAGAAATAAATCGTAGGTTCCGCTTGAATAGGGCATCCCGGGGAGACATTGCTGCATGGGAGCAGCGGTCGAATATATTCGGGAAACGAGGAGATTCATACTAACCGCAGAGCGATGACGTGGGTCTTCATGTGACGTGTCTGCTGTTCTTCATAAACAATCGCTAGAACTGGATCGGAAGACGACGACGACAAGAAGCACATATCAGTTATTTGGGCTTCCTCGACGCGGATGTTGTACGACCGGAGCTCTTTCGCCTCTCTATTCAGAGGAATCATCTGCAGGGGGAAGACATTCCATAAATCGCTGATTATGACGCATCAGCCGGAAATTATGATTTCACCACGTTCCTTCCTTCGTACTCACCTTCAGCAGACCATCATAGAGGCGAAGGGCAATAACACGAGCTTTCGGTTGATCGACTACGACGAGATTCCCAGCTTCTGATGGCCGCGCGTAAGGATCTGATACACATCCGTGAGATCGAGTGATGACTTCGAAATTCTCCGACGATTCAGCTGAGAACTCGAGGATTGCTACGTTGTACTTGTCCGTCAAGAAGAAGAGCAAGTCTTTACTCTCATTCGGATATCGGAATTTCTTCATTACGGAGATGCGTCCGTAGATATTGACCTGTCCGGAAAAAAAATCGGTGAGTTCAATGAAAAGAGCTCGGTGGCTCGGGACAGGATGCCGCTCACAATCACAAGGTGATGGAACTGACCTCTTTGATAGGTTTGAGGCCCTCCTCTGTTATGGTGAGGATCTCTAGCCGTGTATTTTTGGCAACAATCAGATTCCGATCCGTAGGAGTCGTGAAGTTTCCTACCGCGAAAGAGACAAGCGTTTAACCAGGTTGAAGTAATCGCATCCCTACGTATTCTTTTTTGATCGCGGAAGGAATAATCAATAATCAAGCAATATTTCCACGCAGTTTCAGTGAGCTCCGATGCCGTCCGATTGTTCCCCTCTGATCTCAATGATCTAAACCTTCCATTTGGGCCTCGTTGCACGAATGACGAGCAGTACGAAAGAAATTCCAGACGGAGCATAATCAGACGAGATTCGATCCTTGAACTATGGAAGCTCTGCCCCTCTCTCGAAGGACTCGGACGATCGCCAGTAGATGACAGAATCAGGGAGGTGAGACACTGACGTCTCCAGTGAATTCATTCCATAATTTGCGCCGATCGACCCCCGGATCGGGTCCTGATTTCGAGCGCTCGTTGAAAATCGCCGCCGGAATGGGAGCACAAGTTCCTGTCCGCTGCCGCCGGGGCGCGTGCTGTGGATGGGGGAATCGCCGCTATCTGCCCCCCCCCCTGATCAAGGTTCGCAGGGCGGGATGCCATCGCTCTAATTTCGCTTTGTCTTGGTGAATTTCAGTCATCAGGGTTCTCAGGGCTGCTTGGTCGTTTCCGTCCCAAGACGGCACCTATCCGTTGGGAGTTTACTAAAAAACGCCAGGAGGAAAAACTTGGCGGGCGGGAGACGCGAATACAGATGGGAACGGGGACAAGCACCACAGTCGGGCACTCAGCGGATTACGAGGTTCGTCAAGTCATCGTCGAACAAGTCCGTTCGACTGAAACGCGCCACCCCACGCTGCATACGGATGCGGTCGTACCTGTTAGACAGCCAGTCACGGCCGTCGGCTTGTGTGCCGTGACAATGTAATTGTACGACATGATGGTCGAGGGCGTTGCCTTTGCTTCTTCAAGAGGAGCGGCTTTCACATAGAGCTCAGTGCACTTTTTCTCCGTCGATGCTTCCCCTCAATCGACCGTGATCTCGTACGCGGCTGCTCCTCGCAAAATAGATCTGTTTTGTTGTTGTGGAAATCAGCAGACGACGTTTGGTGGCCACACACACCATTCTCACCGAAGGTAGTAATAATAACACTGAATATTCAACAATATGTGGGGGCGGAGGAGAATCGAATTGGATAAGAAAGCGCTGAGTTCCAATGGAGCTCGGGCTTCGAACGGATCAGTTCGACACCGCCCGCCGTGACGAGGAATCTCCGGAAAATTTCGAGAATGACAGGATCTGTGCAAAGAGAGCAGAGGGGAGAGGAATGATGTCGATGATCTTTCTCCAGCCCTTCATTCGGCTCGGGGCACTGCGTCAAGGTTTCCTTGGGCCAGTCCGAAGCCATCGAAAGCGATACCGGGAAGAATTGCACTTCTGTGGCGCCTCGCCGGCGAAAGGAGCGAAAAGCTTTCACCTCGGCCACTGTTAGCTCTGATTTGAGCCCGGGATCGAACCATTTCGCCGGCATTGACTGCTTATCCCCCGAGGTTCGAGAGAGCATGGACTCAAACTATTAGTCGTCCGCAAGGCGAGCTTCCAGGATCCAACATTACGGGCGAAAGGAGCGCTCCCAGCAGTTCACACCGAAGTTTCTGCGCCAGTTCGGCTGGATCGGTCATGTCCGCGCGCAGCTGTACAGTACCCCAGCGGGAGGGAGGCGAGTCGGTGGACTTCTCCTGTTCCTCAACAAGTCCCCGGATATTCGCTGGTGGAGAATGCGAAGGGGCTCATCCGGCCGACCTGGCTGTCGACTGCTTCGTTCCCGCTGAGAGACATTTTTTCCAGCACGGCCCAGACGTAAGAAAGGACCATAGATCAAGAAGTAACTTCAGGATATCGAACCGTAGAAAGCTGACTGTGCAATGGAAAGCTCATCCTGGATCATATTCATGATTCATGACTTCCCTTATGCTCTCGAGCTCTCCGGAATCTGCACTACTGCAGGTTCTTGGTGCTGAACCCTCATGAGAGCCTCAAGCGTGACACGAAGCGCTCCCTGATTCGGCCGGAGAGGATCGGTCGAAATCCGGGGTCGGAGTTGTAGTGCCGGGGCTCGACTCCAGACGCTGAAGGATGAGTCTCTTCGGCCTCTCTCATGGCGACCCGAGGCGAGTCATCCGAGCATCATGGAAAACGAAGCCTGGTCGATGGAATCTTTCAGGAAGATGCCGTTCGCTTCTACGCGCCAGCGCCATGGTGTCATTCCTGCTAATAACTGGTCGTGTTCAGGACATTGTTGCTCCGAAGAGGGGAGTGTGACGTTCTGCGCTTCGAAAGGCGGATCCAGAAACGCAACGGGGAGCTGCCGATGCGGCTCGACCCTGGGTCGCTCTCAGGATCTATACTTCTTGAAGGAGGACCTGTCACGCATTCCCAGTCGAATCGTTCATTCTGACAAGTTTCGGAGCGTCCGAGTGAATGGTCGGTCTTTCTTCTTGCCGAACAGCCAGTATTATGGTAGGATGTGGATGGGCGAGGACCCGAGGGAGGATCATTCGGAGCGCAACAGCGAACCTGTCAAGAGCGTTGCCAATGCGTCGAATCGGGGCACCCTGAGCACCAAGGTCCGTTTTGGGAATCCCCAGACCTCGAGGGAACCACAACCGGCGTCTCGACGGGGGAAATATGGAATTTCCGTATCACAGAGCAGCTCCACAGGATCTGTGTCGCTAAACCAGAAGTCGAATAGTCTCACATGCAGCACTCATAGCGGGCCCAGGTAATCGGGTAACGATCCGAATCTGAATTTCTTCGCTGGTACCGATCCTTTGAATATGATCCCAAATCCTTTGCAGTGTTGAGACATTCGCTCCATCGGAGAGCGCTCCGGAAACCTGTGAGGCAGATCCAAAGAGTCTTCCGCGGTCATTGAGAGTCAAGCTCAGAGTGGTGTCGATCGCGAGTGAGGGGGAGCAGGAAGCGTCACCGAAAGCTGTCGATGAGAACACCGCCGACGAGTCACAATCGGAAATGCAATAATACGATATCTGGATTGACTCCTGATTCGAAAGGGGTCAGACGATGATCCAGACCCCTTTCGCCCGGATCCGTCGGGAGGATTCTCCCATAAGCGATGTGGAAGATACATTTAGCGCCATATGAAGAGGGTAGCGGAGCCTGGTAATTCCCATCGTGTTAGGAAACGACTCCCTCCCGAGATTGTTCCCGCGCCCCCCTCAATCGAGAATAGGCCGATTTCTTCTCTCGTCCTGGGCATGGAGATATCTTGCTATCGAAAATACGTGTCGCAGGGTTTCCCATACATATTATGGCCTCGTGGAATTTCATAACGCTGTGGTTTCCTTTCGACATTCATAGACATTCACACCTTAGAGACACCTTCGCACCTTCGCGTCACGTGCCTGCTGAGACCTACTCACAAGGGCAGAATTACTTCTGACCACTGTTTTGACTAGTTTTCTTCCTCTCAAGTCCCATGTTGATATAAGGGCGCCTCAGTTTGTTCCGCATGAGGAAAATTGAATGGGCCTCCTCCGATATGCCCAAGAGATATATATATTGCATATATGAGGCTTCGCGAAAATTGCCTGTGAGCATCGCGCTGCTCAAATTTCGATGGACTTAAGAAAGAACCCTCCCCGGGGCCGTATCTTTTCACCGCGATGAGTTGATCACATTTCCCCGCAGCAAATATTTCCCTTCTCCTGGACGGACTCGACGCAGACCCTGTTCATTGAAGTCCAGAATGGTTTAAGTCACCGCTGGCCTTCTTATGTCAAACTTTACTCCGCTGAATCCTGATACAGCACCAGTACTCGACCCGATGCAGTGTCTGCTAAATTTTTCAGCGACTCATCGCTGCTCAACAGGGTTTAGAGCAGGGTCGCACAGCTTCGGAGGTCTCGCGGGCCACTCCCCGAGGCCGAGAACGTTCGGCGGGCCGCAAACATTCTCTATTTGCGAAACTCCGGGCGAAAATCTCTCCTCTGTGGACCTTGGAGCAGTTTCTATTCACTACATCTGTATCTCGCAGGATCTGGTCACTTACGCTTTCCGCGCACGATTTCATTATTTCCGGCCTGAGACGCAATATCGATCCGATCGTCACCGATACCGGGATGAGCGCCGCCAGCCGCAGAGAAAGACGCTACGGGCAGCACTTTGTGCACCCCAGGTTTACAGACTAAATGCTTTGGATCGCTGATAGCTCGTGCCGGCTTGGCGTGAATTCCGCTTCCCAGAGGGGGCTGGCGGGTGAGGAGTCAAAATCATTGGTCAGCGGGACGGTGATAATCTCGAGAAATAATGGAGCCTCGAAAGAGAATCGATGATCATCATTTGTCTTGAAGGTGGAAAATGCAAGGAAATCCAATGTACAAGGAGGAGAAACAAGATGAGGTGGACAACGCCTGCATACGAATCCTCTCATCTCTCGAGCACTCCTGCTTCGGAGATTTGGTAAGTGCAGTCCGTGGATAACTTATTCGTCGTCTTAAACGGATCGCTGCGACTGATTTCGTTCGCGGCGAAACGCAGAATTATGAGTGGGTCTACAAAAACGGCTTCGCGAAGATCTAGTATATGGTATCGAGGAGTCGCTTCGAGTACGGCTTCGGCCGGGAGCGAGTTTCCTTCCGGAGGAGTGGACACTCAGAGCATTTCGCGCTGATGATCAGATGAGCGTCCGTGAGACGCCTAATTTCGTGAGTTTTTCTCGACGAGTCCCCTTCAGGAATAGCTCTGTGCTGCGCGCCGATCATCACGAACCTGCGACTTGCGATCCCTCGCTGACGCAGCAACATCAACCCCAATGCCTAACAGCCCTATAGGAACGAAGTGAACTCCTCCGATGGGACAGCACGAGCAAGCCGCTCCGAAATGCGACGGTGGATGTTTAAGAAAGGGACCTCCTTTTCGAAAAACGTTTGGGCCGGAATCGTAACGATAGATGTCTATATCGCGAATTGCTGCGCTCGATGTCAGCGTCGAAAAGGGCTACACAGTGGCTTGTGAAGTCGGAGTAGTGGATGTCATCATCATGGCTTGTCATCGGACTGGAGAACCTCATCAAAATACCTAATAACGAAAACAGTTCGCGCTATCGACGACGTCACCTCCCAATACAATCCCATACGGCATGCGACGCCGAGAAGATACCAGAATGATGCGGCCAACTCGTCGGGAAGTACGGCGGAGCAGCTGCCCGCTGCTCTCCGTACGGATCTAAAGGGTTCGATGCTCGATTGGGGTTCTCCGACCTCATCTCCAGGGGGCTATTTGGCGAATTCGGAATAAACGTCCTGAATCAGGGACCCGGTGCTGCCGCGCTCCGAAGGCTCAGAATCGCGAGCCCCGTCGTGAACTCCTCTTTTGGGCGTGAGAACCAGGCAGGAGCACGCGATCCGAGATCCCTCCCCTTACTCTCTTGGGAGCAGCAAGGATGCGGCATTCCCACCCAAGGGTGATGAGTAGGGCCAGGAATTTGGCGCGATCGCTCCGTGCCGTGAATTTTCACGGCATTTTCAGGCGATCCTCCATAGAAGTCAATGGCGGGTGGAATTGCCGTGAATCGAGAGAACGCCGTGATGATTCCCAGCCTTAGTG